ACAGCTCTGATTTTGTCTCGTTATTAACGGAGCATTCTCTGCCATCGTGACATATAATGAGCGTGCACAAACTGTAAACGCTTTCAAACTATGCTATTTGGCTTTAATTTAAGGCAACGAAACTTTATATCTGTAAGAGCCCATCTGCCGTTCACGCATGTGCTCAGTGATTTCGCAATATCTGGGACATTTGGGCTACAGACTCCTCAGTAAAAAAAACGACTACTTACTAAATGTGATTATTTCGCAGTTCGTCCTTCGCTCGTTTTGCTTGGGTTATTTTAGCTTTCTTTATATAAACTTTCAACTTCTTTATATAAACTCGATCGCATCACCCTCGAAGAACTTCGAGTCATTAAACTTAATGTTAAATATGGTTAGTTCAGTATATTTAATAATGCTCGGTTGAGCGTCCAGGATGCATCATCCCGTGGAAATATAATTAGTTTACCCGTTTGGATCTACACTTACTGGTTCCTATTTAAGAAATAAATACGAATTAAACGCCGTGTGGTCTATTGCGCTGATCGTCTTGCCCACTCCAGCCTCCCCCTGGGGCGAGGAGCCGTGGAAAATGAGAGCATAGTAAAACTTTTGCATGCAGCGTAATGAGCATAAAACTTTTGCGAATTAAACGCCGTGTGGTCTACTGCGTTGATCGTCTTGCCCACTCCAGCCTCCCCCTGGGGCGAGGAGCCGTATTGTCTGCCCCTGCGCGCGCCTGTTGGTCGCACCGGTCAGCCATGCGCCGTTAAACGCCCCATTTCCAGCTGTCGCTGCGCCAGCTGCCGTGCCGCTTGTTCGTCCTCACTGTGAGCGCTGTCACGAAGCCTAAATGTTTTAGATGGGAAATTCATATATCGTGTGGAACCGTGCAAGTTATTTTACGAAGAAGAAGTGACACGTGACATAAAACCAGGTGAATAAAAAATAATTGGACGCCGTACTTTTTCTTGGGTTGCACAGCGTTCACGATAGCTGGTTTTAACAGGCAAATTAAATTTTTATTTTGATTTGGGATGTATCCGCTCTCAGTTTTATCGTGCATTTTATATTTACTAATAAAACTGCTCACTTATTCAAAGGAACGGTTTTGCAGCGGACAACTTTTGCATTGCAACATCGTATGTTTTTTTTTTGTAACGACTCCTGTCTCTGTAAGGATTTATGTTATAGTAACATGTACATGTAGCAATTTCTGTTGTTTGCAGTATGTACATTTGTTGAGAACGCTCTTGTTAACCTGCTCCCGTTTTGGTTTCATAAAACTTTCCAAATTTGTGTTACACATGATTTAGCCGCTTAACGAGTGTAGTCAGGAGCTTATATTTGATTTATTAGAAGAAGAGTTTATTCTTGTGGGTAACAAGAACGGCCAACGTTTGCTACGAAGTAGATTCATTTCCGTTTAGGACACATACGGAGTTTATTTATTTGTATCGTTTAAATTTGAAAAAGGTCACTGCAAACGAGTTTAAATTGCACGCGATAAATTTAAAACCGAAATGAATTTTCGAACTTACTGTTCTTCTAATTTGTGTAATAAATGCCTTTAGAAAAATATTTTTTCATCAAATTGCTTGTGCACAATTTATTTGAATAAACTAGGTAATAATCGTATGAATTAAAAATGGAATAATTATCGCATTAGAAGTATTGGATTAAATATAATGCTATTGTTTTTTTTGAAGAATTATATTATTTCACTTCAATAAAAATTCCTTCAAATTTTTATTATTCGTAAATAATACAGAAAGTTCACGAGCTCTAAGCTTCAAACTCCATTTGATTACCGATCAATTATAAAAATATCAACGCGTTCCATGCAAAATAAAAGATATCATTGCCATCCCAAAGCTGCGCATAGTCTAGTAGCTACTTCAAACTATCGTCAGTCATGAAAAGATCCGGTCAATGACACGATTTTAGATCTTCTGTGAACAAGTCACGAAAAGGAAAAGAATCAGCGACAGGCCACATCAGGCCTACACTTCAGCGCCGACATCACTATGTTATGTTATGTTAAGGAAGCCTTATCGTTTCCTCGTCCGGGTTCCGTCTTCTAGGTCGAGCAGGTCGCGAAAAGCAGAAGCGTCCATTGCCTGAGGAAGAACTGGAGTGAGGCTCCGGCCATGATCCATTTCCTGTGTCTTCAATGCCGGCACAACGGTGCCTCTTCACCCTCATTACAACAGTTAGTTTTTTTTCTCTAGAACTAGCTTAACCTGCCGTATCATACGTAATACTTAGTATGAAGAAAATTTAATGAAGATTTGATCGTCCGATGAACAAAATTCCTATGCTCGTCAAAACGGATATATAGGTTACGATGTGTTTATAACTTCAACCTGTTACCGGTACATTTAGATGATTTTTTCTACTTTTTGAGGCGAATACATTTTCTTGTGAGGACACTACATCCTACCTAATGAAGATAGGATAACTTCTATCTATGAAGTAATATATGTGAAAATAAGATTGTTAAAATTAAGTTACCACATTCTTCTACATAGTATAGTATGTCCGTTTTTAGATGTGCATATATTCATCTATGTAAATGTGGAAATGTTAGGAATTCGCTCAATTGAATTGATCTATTGTTTGACAGATCGTTAATTAATTAATCTAATAAAGTTGACTAAATTGCTAGTTTCTTTTTCGCTTGAGACTTTCCAATTATTCACTCTTATAAATTAATAGCATGCCTCGGAATCTTTCTTATAATATGTGCTCTAAAATGCCCGTGAAGATGCTCCATTATGCTTGCATTCCAGGTCAGACTTTTTACCCCCATGCATGATCGTAAAGGGAAGACTAACTTTCGAAAAAGAAGCTTTGTCGTCTGCCGAGATGCCTTGCGCCGTCCGGTTGCGTTTTTTAAACATTGCATTCAGGTTATCCTCTGCCGAGATCTGACTATCACGGGCTTGAAATTCAGTTTTTATGTGAGTACATCTGCCCCACTTTACAGAACCCGAAGAAGCAGTTCTCCCATGCAATATTTTTTCAGTTATCGGCGAGGATGTTTGGTTAGTCTGTGAAGATATTCATGCCGTGCTCCACTTATGTAAGAGAACTCGTTGATACTTTCAGATTTCACCATCGAGTTGAAATATATGCTTTATTATAAAATGTTTACAACGCCCATTTGAAAGGGCTAAAACAATGTTCTGTAGGCCGTTTGGAATTGTTTCAGCGTTATCGGCATTGCTTGTGTGAATTTTGAGTTTTTGAGATCCTAACATTGATACTTATGAGCGAAATGATTCGATTTGATAATTAGTACTTATTGCTTAGGTGAAAAAACAGTTTTAATTTAGAAGAAGACTTCGTTGGAAAATTTAGAATTTCGATAAATGTGTCTCAACATTGCAGGTTGTTGCGCAAAAGAAAGTCTGAAAGTATTCAAAAAATTGAGAAATCAAGTCTTCTCGATTCATTGCCAGTTTTTACGCTTCATGTTTCTGCGATTAGAACTTCTTGAACGATTATTAAGTTACAAATCGTCAACTACCTTATTTATTTAAGGTAGAAATAATTCTATGAATATGATGGACAACTCGTCCACCCACGCACTCTATCTGTGGAGTACCACTAGGATAATGTTGATAATGATAATAATACATATAAATAGATGTACCTAATGATAATGGAAATAGCAAGATTCAATACAATTAACTGTTAACTGCACAATATGAGTTAATGATGTCAATATGAATTAATGATGAGCGTTAACTGCACAATATGATCGCTCGTAAGGCGCAGGAAATCAACTACTAAAGACGCGTTGATGAAGCGTGAAAGCCATGCTGTAGATGCGGACGATGCGCGCACCGTACACGACCTACATTTTTCCCTTGACTCTCTATGTGTTTTTTATATTGTAATCGTAGTTTTTATCTCAAACAGTGGTATATCTTAACAAATACTTAACGTATAAATGGTTTTGAGAACTAATGGGAGCGGTGTCACTGCATGTTTTATTGTTCGATAGAAAGTGGGGTATATCTTCTGCCGTGGTAAATTTTAAACGTTTCTTGATCATGGAGTTGATAGCTGGGTTTAAAAACATCAATAATTCCGAATTTAGAACATACTTAATTATGCATGTTTATATTTACATATTTTTTCCACTCCTCAGGTGTAAGCGATGGGTCGTCATGAACAAGGAGCGAACAGTGAACACACCCTGAACCATCACAAAGCTCACCGCCATCACCACGACAGCAACCATCACCGCGCCAGGTCCCTCTCACCACACCGGTACCGCAAACAACTCAACCAACCGCACCGACAAAGTCATCGTCTTCACCACCATCACCATCACAGGGATCGGTCTTCATCACCGAGACACCGAACTCCTCCTGACTCTCCAAGACGAAGGCCTTCCCCTCCTCCACGGAGAAGATCTCCACCCTCCCCTCCTCCACGAAGACGATCTCCAGCCCCCTCTCCACCACGGAGAAGATCTTCCCCTTCGCCGCGCAGAGATCCTGAACAATCAAGACGTTTGCGAAGAAGGTCTTTATCACCACGCGCTCGGTCGCGGTACGTTGCTCTGCCAAAAATATTGCATACAAAAAAATTACATATATTAGTATTAGATGACAGAATTTTCTTGTTTATTAATTTTCTTTTTAATTAATGACCAGAGAATGCATTACCATTTCCAAGGAGTCGAATAATTCTTTAAATGACGTTGGTAGATCAAAAGGCAGATTTTGTGAGTAATAATAATGTACTGACGACGTTGCGAATGTAGCAACATTAATTTTCAAGTTAAGAGAATCATTGAAGAATTTAATTTTGTTGGGCATAAGTACAAAATACACGTAATATATTATACAACACAAAAATTTCGAGCCAGAAAGTCCCTCCGCAAATAATCTCAAAGTTTAGACAAATCATGTAGTATCGAAATAGAGAGCTGGGGTCCAATCTAATATGACGAGGGTTAAAGCAATCGTTGGTCGGTTGATGTTGTGCACCTCCGCATGACGATGACGCTGGTGGGGTTTTCCAGCACTGCGCTAGCGACGGTCTTGTGAGTTTGTCTCAGGGGGTTTCTCTGCCTTACAGACTGAAGATGGCAGGTGAGACGGTCTCGATGTCGTGATTGTTAGTCCAATTACTCCAATGTAGTCCAAATGATGAATAAGTCTACAATATTTGAAGCAAAATTTATAGACTACACCGGCCTCTTATTTGGAGAACTCCTTTTTTGCAGTGGTCATTGCTGCATATAGTCCGGAGTTCGACGTTAAATATCATGGATTTTACGGAGCCTGTTTTATTCATCGATAATCTTGTGATGAAGTTGCTCGATTTTTACACTTTAAGACAGTTTGAGATTCCTTTCTGAGTCTCCGAATTTCACGTTTTTGAGTTCACTGTTGATTTGTCTCCGAATTAGTTCACTTCTAAGTCTCACAGCTACCAACGTCATCTAAAGAATTATTCGATTCCTTGAAAATAGTAATGCATTCTCTGGAAATGATTGTAGGATTTATACATACATATGCATGCCGTCTCATTTACGTTCTCAAACTGATATTCATTTTTTCATCACTCTGATTGAACGAATTCCACCACAATTTAGACACGAAGAAGTGCGTGAAACGAGTTTCCACTCGCTCGATGAAAGGGACCCTCGTAACGTCGCCTCGAGCAGATCCCAAAACGACCTCCTACCTCTGATCCTTGCTCGCGAGGAGCTCACTGACCTCGCGAAGGCCACAATGGTCCGTCGGAGCGCCCTCCGGCGGGCTCGGGAAGAGGAAGCCCTTGAGGTCGAGAGACTTCGTAAGATTCGAGAAGACGCCGCTGAGGCCGAAAGGCTAAGAATCTCTACTGAAGAAGCAGCGGAGAGAGCGAGGAGAACCAGAATACAGATGGAGATGGATGAGGCGGAAATGCGCAGAGTGAGGGCCTTAGAACAATTCAACGAAACTGAGCGACAGAGACGTGAGATGCAGCTTGAGGACAGGCTCCGGCAGCTAGAAGATCAAGATATGCCTCCTGAACCGCAAAAAAATAGGAGCTGTAAAAAGTATTGCAGGGCATTCAAAGTGTCGTTCGGCATTTTTTTGTCGCTCGGACTCATATTTGTGGTAAGTATTCACTAATCTCAAGCGGCTACGACTCTGTTTTTTTCCCCCGTCTTCGTGTTTCTTATATCGGCATTTTTCAATTATCCAAGTAAAGACGATCCACTCCAATATTGAAATCATGAACTTACAGGAGCAATATATTTTCTGACACCATAGCTTTATAACTATTCATCAACTTAACCTTTTTCTTTTTTCTTCAGTTTTACCTGATAGTGGCGAGTATCATGGGCGAGTCAGCTCCTCTGGACATATTCAATCTGGACCACACAGAAGATCCGCTTTTGGTGAACATAAATAAACGCAATCCAGGCATTAATGTGACTTTAAGGAGCAACATGGACAATTCCAAAGAAAAGAAAAAGATAGATGAAACGAAAAGCAGTCCCGACCGAAATGACGATAATCAAAGTGGTAGCGGCTTTGACAATGTCGTAGTAAACCCCTATGATACAAGCAAAGCCTATGAAAACCCCAGTAGCAACGATAGGTCTGAGCATGGGAACTTTGACGATGTTGTGCTCTCTTCCTTCGATCCGAGCATTGGTGGTCTCAATCCAGGAGGCCAAATAACACGAGACTCATTTGGTAATTTGATCATAGAACCGTACGATATCCAAACAAAAGACGGAACCGTTATTGTTGAGTACGTCGATGGCTCACCTATAAAAAATGACGAAACTGTATCTGTGGTTGATTTAGAGGGCGAAATTCCTTATATCTCTGGCGAAGATCAAGCCTTGTCTCCTAGCAATCCTTCTGATATTGCTTATCTACCTTCATTTGTTGCTTCCACTGAAGATCGATTCGCTAACCGCAATAGAGAATCTGTCCTTCAAGATTCGGATCGCCATTTCGGATCGCAATCTATAAACCCGCATGAGATTGAGCCCCCGGCAACACCTTCAAGCTCTTCAACGACGTTTGATGATGTTATCAGGCGGTCTGACAGCGTTGCTGGAGATTACGATTACTACTTACCACCAATTCACGTGGATGGCCCTATGCAAACTTCTTATGAAGATAGAGCCGTAGAGCGATCAGACGTAGCAGCTTTTTCTCCAACCCACCTCCCAAGTCCGGTGTTTGCTCAGTCGTTCGAAAATGTACCAGAATCCAACCAAAGACGGCCATTCAAAATTTCTGGTGGTGTAAGACCTTCTAGTGGAGGCGGTGGATTAAGGAGTGACAGACGTCCATCGCTAGAAAAACTTGAATCTGAAATAATCGAAACTCTCCTGAACATTGCCGAGAAAGATGAAACAAATCGAAGACTTAGAGTCATGCCGAGAGTTAATCCTCATCGCCATATTCGAAGACCAAGCACGAGGATGGAAGCACCTCCAAGTCTACGTCATCGAAATCCTGACCAGTCAAGAAGACCAAATCATCGAACCAAGCGACCAATGTCACGCCGCGAGTCCATGCGTATTAGACAGGCACAAAATATACCATCCCTGCCTTCGCCTGACATGATAACAGCGCCTCCCTCAAGTTTGACGCAGCCAGGGAGGTATCTTGGACCACGTCCGGGATTTCGCCCTCCTACAGCCGAGGATCCTCTAGTAGGCATGGAGACCTCGCGTAGGGTGCGTTACGGAAATCATCGTGGACCAAGAAATACGAAAACTCATGTACCGCCGCCTGAATTCCGCTACCCAAAATCGGCAGAAAACATTCAAGATATCATCAGTCACATGTCCGCTCATGACTCCCCAGCAACAATGGCGTTTTCTCGGCAAAAACGTCTTCCGGAAGGTTTTAAAGTGGGTAATCAAGACCATGTTCTCTCGCCTAGTTTTAGAAAAATTCCTGATAGTCGAAGCAAGGAGAGGCGTCATACAATCCCGCCTCCAGGGAGAAAAATCCCAAGAAAGTCCAGTCCGAAAAATCGCTCGCCATTCAAAACCAAAATAAGAGCCTCGCCAAACGATCCTGACGGTGAGGATGAAGTTATTTTCAATGACGATGGATCAGTTGTACACATAAGCAACAATCCTCCACCACTCCAATACGGGCATTCCGTCGAAGTGTCTCATGAGGAAAGGAAACGCCCGGATCCGACTCAAATCAGAGATTACAGTTCTTCTTACAAAGAATATCATCCTCCAGTTTACGAAAAGAAGCCCAAAGTAAAGCCTATAAAAGTCATGCTGGATGTGTACCCGTCGCCGAACCACATCGGGTACGGAGGAAAACCCAAGTATGAATCAAAATATTACATCGAAGATGAGTTTGACATCCACGATCGACGGCAATCTATAGAACGCGATGAATTCCGCCACCCCGATCCATATCCAAGTTCTCCTGATCGATACAACGATGATCGTTATCGATCACCTGATCATCGGTCTCGATTAGCTGAAGATCGCGCCGCAGGTAGCGACGATGGACTGCAATATTCTGATGATAGGTCTCGATTTCTCGATGATGCGTCCCGATATTCCAATGATAGGTCTCGGTATTCCGGTGATAAACCTCGATATCCCGATGAAAGGTCTCGAAATTCCGAGGATAGATCTCGATATACGAACCAAACTCCTAAACATAGAGGGTCATATTACAACAGTCACGAGAAGTTTTCCAATCCTGAATCGAGACACTCCCTCGACGAGGCTTCAAGCTATGACAAGAGTCGACATCATCCATCCGATCGGCTCCCCACCATCACTTCATCGGATAACCAGCACACCATTACGCTGCACATCAACCTGTACGACAGAAAGCCTGACTACAATCGTTTCAATCGCAGGTGAGGTATCGTATTTTTTGAAATTCTAAAATTGATCAAAGTTATTGTCTTCTTCGAAGTAGATTAGTGAATCGAAAAATATTCCGTTCTATCCAACAGAAACGAATCACCTTATATAGCTGTCGACAGTTATATTGCGAACCTCAGTACACTTATAAAAGATTGATTATTGACGCTGACGCTAAAAAAATGTTTGGGCGTGTTCACTGATGCTTAAAATTGTATTGTTGATGTCCCCTATCCATACACTATATACTCTATCGATGCCGATTGCAGTTTCAACGTGTAAAAAACATTTTACGCATTAACTTCTCACAGAATGGATACATCAGCATCTATGCCGCAACCTACTTTGCTGGCATCTTCTCAAATGAGGATGGCGTCAATGGAGCCAGGCGATGTATTGCGAAGCTCGGTAAGTTCTTCGCTCGAACCGCGGCGATCGTCAGTGGAGGGCCGCATACCTACCAAAGTGCACCAGTCTTCAACTTCTGAGCCCGAAGGAGACGCCGAACCTTCTGACCCGGAACTTAAACAAGCGATGAAAGAACTTGGCATCAGCATTGACTTGAAAAAGCGATTCTCCGCACTTGATGTCTACCGAGCACTGATGCGCAACACACGGAACATGCGGCAGAGGGCAAACTTCCGACCTGGAGGAGCAGGTGAGTGCAATTATTAATTTTTTGGGAGCGCAGCCGTGGGTAACAAAATTAACTCATAAACAGGCCCTGGGCCCAACGCTAACCATCAGCATGCAATATCTACACATAGCCTCAGATCAATGAGCTGTGGGTAACTCCGGCTATCAGTAAATCCGCTTTGCACTACACAACCACTGCTTCACAGCACCGGAGCACAAATGGCCGGAGCGCAACTGGCCGGAGCTCAACAGGCCCTACCGCAACAGGCGCAGGTTATGTTGCGTTAGGACTAGCCTGTTGCGGTAGGGCCTGTTGCTCTCCGGCCAGTTGTGCTCCGGCGCTGTGAACCAGTGCCTGTGACTGAAAGGCGCTGTTGTGGTGGGCGCTATGTGTCGAAAGCCGTGAAGATGCCCGGCTGCGTTACGCTCGGGAAGGTATATGAATCGCACTGTAGACTTAGGATATACTGACCTCTAGCTATCCACCAAATTTTTTAGTTTGGGTTCCCTGCCACACTCATAGCAATGCAGATTACATTGTTCTACATTTTTGTTCTGTAAAACATATTTCAGTACTTTAGAGCAAATTCTTGTGCGCTGCTAAAGAAGGCAATTGATTAATTAAATCAAAAGTATAATTTTTTATTAATTTTGAATTTGAACGAAAATATAGCTTCTGGAAGAAACGTAAAATTTTTCTCAACTTTAGTAGATGAAAAATGCGACTTCTACAATTATCGTGTTACTATTCGCTCGTGTTTTTCAGGACCCATTGCAGCAGGCCTGATCGCTCCCAAGCCACTCGACGAAGAAGAGGAGGCATCCATTCTAAGCACGGTCGAAAACGCGCTTGCACAAATCAACGAACTGCTGCCGCAGTCATTGAGGTTCATTCTGCCGACTGCAGCAGAATCGGAACCTAAAGCCGCACACCTTAGAGGAATTGTTAATAAAGTGAACAACGAAAACTTTGACTACACGGACGGTTTTGAAGCCAAACTTGATAATGATGAACAAAAAATCAATTCAACGAATGCATCTAAGCTTTCAAAGCTGATCAACGCCAATCCCGTATCTCCTGAATTTTCCAGAAGGATGGGTAAGCTCGTCTCAGTTGATGTTCACCCGCTGCTTGTTAATCTCATCGATAATGATGCTGAAGACCAAAACTCAACTCAGGAAAGTGAGATGAAATTTTCAGTTGACTCATCAACAGATAATCCGGGACAGAATAGCACCGAAATAACTTCTGAAATGCTAGGAGCCTCTGAGAATGAGAAACAATCTAATGATGTCAGTTTAAATGCACTAGATGTTAATGATGTAATTATCAATGGGGACAACTTTGTTGAATTGACAACGGAATCAGAACGGAACGAAAATGAAGACTTCTCTACTGTCACGTTTGGGTCGCTAGACGTTTCCGACGATACAGTTACCTTGTCACACAAAATTTCTCCATAAAAAAATGTACAAACGATTAGGGCAACAATAACAATTAGACTGTAGACAACTGACAGAGCAACGAAAGGTCTTCCGAAACGAGTTCAGAATTTTTTCTAAATGATTCATCAATGGGACTTTGTACGAATTCTTTCATAAAATGTCTGGTATACGGTGAATAATTTGTATGCGGAAATGATAATATGCTGCATAATAAGTGAATAACATGTGTATTGTGTAGGGACAAAACTGATGGACAGCTTTAATGTATCCTCGGAGGCACTAAAACTATTCTAATTTTCAAAACTGTCTTGCCTTCAGTATTCCTATCACTGAAGTTGATCATAATTTTCTAAGTAGCTGAAACTTCGTGATGAGGATGTGCCACGAAATAGAATTTCCTACATTTCGAAGTTAAATTTGGATGTGAGGAGCATCAGTCTTTGTTTTGAATGTGTACATTGAAGTTATGGGAATAAGTGCGTGCTTTAGTATAAGAACACGAATTGTTTACGGGAGCAACACTGACTGTCCTTCTTCACTGTGACTTGGAACGATGCGCATAAAGTGTGCTGAAAAATATTTTATCTGTGACGATTCTTGCCCCGAAGCCATGGGAAAAATGTCTCCCTGAGAGAGTTGAAAAATGGTCAAAAAATTTAAATTCCGCGTCTCTTTCCACCAAAATTATCATACTTTTATACCAATCATCCGGGCCTTCCAAGACTTGAGGAAGTCTTCCTAATTTCTTAGAGCCGTCACTAGACGGACTAAAATTCTCCCGGCTCATCACAATCAAACCTCCAAATGACCATTTTTAGTTTAGTGATAGCCGGATTTATTCTTTCTTGTTTGGTATTGTTGTTTCGGTCGACCATAATTGCTTGTCGATCATGTCGTTGCCTGAACCTAACCCCAAATTTGAGAATAGAGAAAGGTGTGTTTATTTTCATTTAAATCAGTTCAGATTTGAAGGAACCGTGGAATCTCAGTCCGACAATGCACTGTATTTCTATGCATGTATGTATGCTGGATTAATATCTGTAGAATGGGTAAGTAGCACGCATGTCGACCGGGTAACTAAATAAGTTTACGGCCCACTGTGCCGTTTATGGACAGTAGGAATGACGGCACGTGGAAGTGATATTACGAGCTGAAACTTTGAAGTGCGGCCGTATCACCGTAGGCAATGTGGTGTAGCAGCTTTCGGTCTATGATAGTGTTGATACGAAGTAGCGTGGCGGAATAAATTTATCAAGCGCAGCTGCGAGGCTGAGTCTAAACATTACAGTTAGTAGATGAAGACATTTCCTCTGGGGCAAAGTTATAATTTGTGTCCCACAGCTGCGCTACTGGGAACTTTATATATTATCTCGACACATTGCCTACGATAGCCATTGTTGTGTTCCACAAACTCGCCAAGGTTATATACGAATTAGGTTAAGGTTATGGTACATGCGTAGCTATATTTCTGAGAATGTAGGTGATAAAGCAAGTAGATAATTATTAATCTATCAAGTAGACGCTATGTGTAGAGTGTTTGGTCAGAGGGATTTCTGAGAGTAAAGAACAACTGTTTAAAATTCGAATCACTTGGAACACTCATTATTTATTTATTCAAAAATATCATAGCTTCCTTTTCAATAACGCTGTGCGCCTTTGAATCTAGTTAAGTACTAGTTAAATTTCAAGATTCAATGCACCCAATGCCAAAACAAGCAATTTTTTTAAGTAGGAAGGTTCTCTAGTAAATACTATGTTACATCATTAAATTAAGATCGCATTATTTAGTTCTTAACTTGTGGTATAAAAATTTGTTACGTATTTTTATAGCTGATGAAATTATTATCATTCATAAACAGGCAAGGGAAGGCTTAAAATGTTTATAGAACTGTGATAGTAAAGTTCGCTTAAGCCTTCCTTAATTATTTGCAATTAACTTTAACGAGAATTATTGTTTTAATTGTTATAATGAACTTGTTATAAAACTTGTTTTCCTCAAACCTTTTTTTAATGTAATGCAAACAATCGCGGTAACAGTAGTCTAGTATCCTCACTCTAAGCCAATATTACAAAGAACACGTTTCGCATTGCTGAAGCGAGATATTTTTGCATTGCCGTAGCGAGAAATAACACCAAATTTGTGGAACTGATAGTTTATAGGTACTTACATTCAAGTTTCGAAATGGAGTTCTGGGAAAATAAAACAGCGCCTAATGTATTCATTTTTTAAGATATCATATAGGAGATAGTGACATAAAAACGACAGTGGAAAGGCTGGCAGTCAACGCTCAGTATTTTCTTCTCTTCATGATCTCGGGCCTCCATATGACGGGATGGCTTTCTTCATTCTGTGTGGATAAATGTTTCTGCTGTAATTTCACTCTGGTGCAACCATGTGCGATCATAAGTATTTGCCAAGAAACATAATTTCGAGCGATTTTTGATAAATATTTGCCCTGTTTTAGGTTTTGATAGCATGAGAAGAATAAAAGTAAAGATATTTAACCTTCCCTATTTCAACCAGAGAGTAATTGTGATAGCTTCTCACAATAAACGAGTACGCCGGCGAACAAAGACATAAAAGCTTAGATGATGCATGGCAACGATACTCACAGCTTCTTCATCTTCCTTGTAGATTTTGATTGTCTTATCGGCATCGCAGGTGATGAGCCGAGAGCCGCTCTGGTCAAAAGCCATGGCGTACACTCCCGCCTCGCTGTCCATTGAGCCTGCAAATACAATCAACGAATTTTCAACTAAACCATGTTACAAAGGAGAGAAGCAGTCGATTAAATGTTTTTCCGATGATGGAGGTTTAAGATAGTTTAAATATGTATTAAAATAGAGCAAATTTGAATTCACCTCTGATCCGTTCAGATTTGTTACTTCAGGGGCCATACTTTCAAAATTCGCTAAGTGAACGTAATTACTTACGCTCTATTTTCTTATATGTGATTGGTAGATTTTGCTTGAAAGGCTGTCAATTATTGGCTGATGAACTTACGATCACTTAACTTTTTTTGAAAGTATGGGCCCAGGTCCACATTCAAACAAGTTAACGGATTAAACAGGTTCCTTTGTTTAGGGACCAAATAATTTTTCTTAGCAAACTCAAGCAACCTTCATATAGCATGCGGACAAAAACAGCAACACTTTGAATGGCATGAATAGTGGAATAAGTCATACAAATCTTTTAAATAAGAAACAAATAAACAAAGGACCTGGTTGTGGCGGCGCCTGGAGCTTCTGGAAGTTGTGTCCAGTGCGCCAGTCCCAGAAGTAGAGTGTGCCGTTATTGGCGCCCGACACCATCACGCCTTCGCTGTTGATGCACACGCTGTTGATGATGGCGTTGTGGCCTGCCACGCTCTGTACACACAAAGTAATTAATTCAGAACTTGTGCCATAAAAAATCAAGTCAGAATTTTGCGGCCTGTCGCTAGCTCATATCATAATCTTATTTTTATAAACAAATCTACAAGTTGGGAATGCCACTAAAATAGTAAAATAGATTTTCTTGAGCATTAGATGATTGAATGATTATCAGACCTGCACAAATTCGCCCTTGGGACACTTCCACTGCTTGATGTTATCAGCACCGGCAGAAGCGAACATATAGAGTGTAGGATGCAGGGCCAGCGCGCGCACGCTCTTCTTGTGATGGGTCAAGGTGCACATGGAGCGACCGGCAGCCAAGTCCCACAGTCGGATTGTCTTGTCGTGGGAACCTGTTAGCACCTAGAAATAATGTGATGTATTATTATATACATAATAATACAAGAACACAAAATAGCAGGCTTGCATGAGAAAAACTTTACAATGCAATGGGACCCTGGAAAGTCAGAAAAAACACCGTATTGGATAAAAGTAAAAGGTGTGCAAGGCTGAGTAATGATCGCTAACAATGGCAAATAGGTCGTAATGCCATGCTGAACAATGGATAGAATTATTCCATTAGTATATATAAGAATTCCACTCTAAAGTCATCACCTTCAACAAAATCATTTTATTTTATACCTGAATATCTTTTTTTTCAAAATAGAAAGTATTATACCAGGCTCTTTTTAATTCCCTCATAGATCATCCTGAGCACGGACACCACGATCTACGCGCAGACATTCTACAGGCTTATTCTAAATGATGGACCTAATTTAATAAATTCGCATTTATTCAAGTGGTTGTGGCGGCGCCTGGAGCTTCTGGAAGTTGTGTCCAGTGCGCCAGTCCCAGAAGTAGAGTGTGCCGTTATTGGCGCCCGACACCATCACGCCTTCGCTGTTGATGCACACGCTGTTGATGATGGCGTTGTGGCCTGCCACGCTCTGTACACACAAAGTAATTAATTCAGAACTTGTGCCATAAAAAATCAAGTCAGAATTTTGCGGCCTGTCGCTAGCTCATATCATAATCTTATTTTTATAAACAAATCTACAAGTTGGGAATGCCACTAAAATAGTAAAATAGATTTTCTTGAGCATTAGATGATTGAATGATTATCAGACCTGCACAAATTCGCCCTTGGGACACTTCCACTGCTTGATGTTATCAGCACCGGCAGAAGCGAACATATAGAGTGTAGGATGCAGGGCCAGCGCGCGCACGCTCTTCTTGTGGTGAGTCAAGGTGCACATGGAGCGACCGGCAGCCAAGTCCCACAGTCGGATTGTCTTGTCGTGGGAACCTGTTAGCACCTAGAAATAATGTGATGTATTATTATATACATAATAATACAAGAACACAAAATAGCAGGCTTGTATGAGAAAAACTTTACAATGCAATGGGACCCTGGAAAGTCAGAAAAAACACCGTATTGGATAAAAGTAAAAGGTGTGCAAGGCTGAGTAATGATCGCTAACAATGGCAAATAGGTCGTAATGCCATGCTGAACAATGGATAGAATTATTCCATTAGTATATATAAGAATTCCACTCTAAAGTCATCACCTTCAACAAAATCATTTTATTTTATACCTGAATATCTTTTTTTTCAAAATAGAAAGTATTATACCAGGCTCTTTTTAATTCCCTCATAGATCATCCTGAGCACGGACACCACGATCTACGCGCAGACATTCTACAGGCTTATTCTAAATGATGGACCTAATTTAATAAATTCGCATTTATTCAAGTATAAATTCACAATGAATAATTTATACACCAATAGGAAGAGGAAGATTAAATTTTTTACCATTTATAACTGTTCAATATGTTGTATGATATATACATATTTAATATTAGCAATTTCAATCTTTAAAATGCGAAATTGAGCGGTGATGGCGTTGTCTGAATCTGAATATCTCTCTTTCCATTGCTGTATAAATTACAAATTTTGAATTTATACTTAAATAAATTCGAATTTATTAAATTGGGTCCATCATTTAGAATACTCCTGTACTTAAATTCATATGTAGCTACGAAACAAATTAAATCTTTCTTCTCTTCCATTAGGTTAAACTATTCAACCATTCTTAATGTAAGCCTAACTGAATATCATAAGTCAGTTATCATTACCTGAGGTTCAGCAGCCTGACACACAACAGAGGCGACAGTTTGTGCGTGCCCTGTGAGGGTGTGGATGTTGGCAGTGGTACGCATGTCCCAGACGCGCGCTGTTGAGTCCCGACCGCATGTGAGCAGCACGTCCAGTGTGGGGTGCAGGGAGAGGTCGTAGCAAGCACTCAAGTGGCCGTGGTAGTGACGAATCACCTACAAGGTTCATTATTATTAGCAACTAGCAGGTGGGGGTCTCTTTAAAAATGAGACCGGGGAACCACAACAACTAGCAGGTTAGCCCAGCGCGGTCGTGAACGATATTCATGCAATTTTCGAGTCCCGTTATCCGGAATAGTCTTAATGGTAATAGAGCTATTGCATGCTAATTAAATATATACTTGTTCAAAATCACTTTCGTAAGGAATATTAAACTCCTTTCGATTGACTCCCGTTTTAAGATACAATATTTGTCTTATTTCAGTTGAAGTACTATGTCCTCGAATAATCAATGCTTCAAGGTATACTTGCCTTATTATACTCGAGGTCCCAGCACTTGACTTGCTTGTCTTCACCACAAGAGAAGAGGTAGGGATGGCGCTTTGAGACAGCGACGCCTCGCACAGCAGACACGTGCCCGGTGAGTGAGAGCTTCAGTTGACCTGAGCAGTGAATGAATGTGAGGGGCAGAGTAATACTAGAATATTATATCACTCTTAGTCTGCGAGATTAGTTAAAAATTGCACAATACATGTACGTATTGGTTTATGGGTATGGAAAGGAAATGAAGCCTTCTATGAAGACTGAAAATTAAAAATAATGTTGCTTGCACAATGTACATGTGAATGAGAGAGAACTCGTGTGGAAAAACTAATCTCTGAGTCTAAACTAAAAAGGGTTGATAAATTTTCAACAGCAATTATAGGGAGGAATTCAATAAAATAGTTCTCTTTAAAAATTAGACAACACACCCATCGCAATGCATTACTGAAAAATTGACACACCAAAAAGGAGAGTTTTATTAGACAAAGCAAACAACCCCATCAGTGATATCCAGCAGAAAAATTACCACACCTGAAGCCATGTCCCAAATTTTAATAATGCGATCTTGAGAACCAGTGCAGAACCATTCATTGCCAGGCTCCACAGCAACACAGCGCACCCAGCCTCCATGGCCTGAAGAGAGAGGCAGTTATCAAGTAAATCACAAAATACATCCCACTTATTGTTGCCATTATATTTAGCTAATTTGAATTAATAATATTAGTCAATCTATGGTCATATTGAAGGAAAATTATAACTTATTACACCAACAAAAGCTATTTTAAACATGTGTAATCAGCATTGGCATATTCTATGTACATACACATTCGTGACATATGGTGATATATAGAGTGTTTACATTTAGCTTGCGGTAAATGTAATCACTCTATATGCTCAGTATTTTAGTTTTACGTTTTATTTAGTATAATATGACACTTTATATAATACAATATATATTGACATATGTAATATGTTTTGAAGAGTATACATATGCTTGACTGTCAGCTAGAATTCAAGTTACATGATGTACAAAATACAATATGGACCTCTTGAAGTTGCAACCATGAGAAGTTTCATGGTAGAAACACCCACTGACCTGATATAACTCTGGACAGTTTCCATGGTGCATGCCATCTTGGCTTGGGCATAACAGGTGCCTTACGAAGAGCCAACTGCTGGCCAGCATTTGCAGCTCCTCCAGGACCGGCATCTGGGGCAGCAAGTGGCACCATGGCCTATTGGTGTAGCAATAAGTTGACTGACAGATCAAGGCTAGACAATCAAATGATATTTATGAAATGGTGGCAATAACTTATTGTCGAAACTTCTTAATTATTTTTGCCATTTGCATAGGTATAAATACTAGGACTAATATAGTGCAAAGCATAATGATCCATAATATAGATACTTTGATGACAATGATCCATAATTTTTTGTTAAAAGATGAAAGCATGAATGTACAGAATTTAGGGCATAAATAACTAATCAAGTGAACCTGTGAAGCGGCAGAAGGGACAGTTGGTTTGGTCCCAGGAGCTCCTTCTATTGCAAGTGGTGCAGCTCCAATTCCATTTTCCACTGAGCTCTCTGCCATTGCATTGTTGGCAGCGGCCAGAGCTGCTGCAGCTTTCTTTGCTTGGGCAACTCTGTGCAGAACTGGCCCATACTGATCTTTGGCTTTAACTGCTCTTTTAAACTGTTCAGAGGGAAGGTGAGGAGGAGGCAGATTGCCTTGGTCACATAAAAACATGTCATGTGTTCGCTTCAGAGAGCGGAACACAAGGGTATGTACCGAGTGCCTCTGAACTTCATCAGAAGAAGGCATAGTGAGTCTGAACTAATACTTGGTTGCAATTTTTTTGAAATGTAGAGAATTTTTAGTTCTAAATAACTTCAGTAAATAAACACAAACTCAAATACAAAAGCAATCAAATAATTCCAGTTGCACAATTTTTGATATGACTTGAACTAATGCAGCCTCAAGGTTCATTAGATTAAAGTCTCATAAAAAATCAACTTGCCCCTAATCTGCCATAAAAAGAGAACAAGAATTTCATTTAGAAGAAAATCCAACTTCCGGAAGGACACAATGAAGATTAAGCTAGGTACTAAATTGAATTTGCTCAGTATCTAGAGTAAAATGTGGAATGTTATTGAGAATAAAACTCATATGGTAACAACCATTTAACTTGCATATCCATAATAATTGCACTGTTAGGGGAAAATATTATGATAAAGTTTCAAAAATTTCAAAAACTATATACTGTCAACCGGGGCTACACGGGACAATTTCAAATGTTTTTCATTCATAACTTCTTACCATGAAACATTTCATAAACAAGTTTAGGCTCATTTCAAAGCTCTTTGCAAGGGCTATTGCATGGCTTCTCTCAAAAAATTCCATATGCTATTTGTAAGGTGCCAGAAGCAAAAAAAGAGTGTCCTGAGTAGCCCCATAGAATGGGGCTACTTGGGTTTTTTTTCTTGGGACAAAATTCTTCTATGTCAAATAGTTTTTGAGTTTTGGGGGTTTTTGTTAGAAAACTAAAAGTGGTCTAAGTTACCCCGGGAGTCTAAGATACCCCATTTTATGCCGTTACGGTACTCTCTGATCCACAGCTGGATTCTTTGAGCTGTGGCCTGTGATCACTGATTCTTTGAGGCGGTGAGGCGTGATGTTATGGATAAACAAGCCATGAATACCACATACAGGCTATGAAAAGTTAATTATGAGCTGCAAACTCATTTGCAAAGTCCTGTGCATATGTTACCACAAATCTCTAATTTTACCATAGAAACAGCAACTAGAACATTTTTCTACACTTTAGAGTTTAGACTAAAGTTTAGAGGCAACTGAACATGTGATAATGTATTGTTTATGTTTTAATTTAAAAATAAACACAGTTATAATTGATTGCAAGTTGCAACTATGCCATCTCCAAAGAAAGGTTTTGGGTTCACTCATTATGAAGGATATTTTAGTAGGAGAATTGCAATGAACTGAAAAAGTTATATAATTATGTAAAATGATGACACTTTTGTGAACCACAATTTCTTCAAACACAAATACTATTATTAGTAGTATACTACATTATGTTAGAGCTGCAAGATTTTAGACCTACCGATCTGATTATACAATATTAGAGCTGCAATACTTCAGAAGAAATACCTACCTAGTACTTTTCCCAATTACTGAATAAAGGCTCTAGTTACAGACTTACAGCCTTACAGGATCAGGACTTATTATATTATACAGTTTGGAAAGCAGATTCATTTCATTGCTATTCAACACCCATTTTTAGCCACAAGATTTCCAAATTTAAATGTCATCATGAGCTTGCACAGTGGCAAACTAAAGATATTTTAGAATCAGTTCATTTTTAATTTGCACATTTACTTGAGATTTAAACCAACATCTAACAGATTGAATGATAATGCTGGTAGCCTATTAATGAAATAACAATACTACTTACTACTACTTAGGCTTTAGCTGGTCTACTTATACCTAGGACTCAAAATTGAACTGGAGGAAGAGTCTAAAAAACTATTTGTTTTGCAAGATAGCTATGGCAACTACCCTATGTTAAAATATGAAGTCACCAAACTTAGGGTCGGGATAAATCAAGTACCTAGGGGCTAGGAATTTCCGAATCTTGTCTCAAAATTTCAATGTAATCTTTAAATGCTCTGCTTTTCTTTGCAATCTAGTTTATAAAATAATATACCTTTACAATTTGATGATTTAAAAATAGGTGAAAAAGGATTTTCTGATCAAATTACAAATTTTGTTATGTGATCAGAAAAACCCTAAACAAAACAAAGAAGAACAAAAGCTACCCAAGTTTCATGTTTTGCAGCCAAAATGCAAGAAAATGGTCCCGTAGTCTGAATCTGATCAGATTCGTATCGTTCAAACCTAATATCGTAATTATCCTGCCAATTTCTAATTCTGAGCCTCTGAGGTAAGACTTATGACAACAAAAGTATAGCTTGAAAAATTTGTAATCAATTTTATGCACTGAGAGAGATAAGTTATCCTGAAGAATATATAAATGCATTAGCCTAATTAGGAAATAGTTCTTAGTTCTAACTTTAAATTGTGTTAGACTGTTAGGTACATATTAATTAAAAAAAAATTGAATGAAATAAAGTCAAATCAGCTAGGCCGATGAATCTCCGTTTGAATTGAATAGTTAACCAATTTTCATTGCTTGGGCCTGAATCTCACGAGCCATGAACATTAAAATTTTTAATTTACAGTGATATCAAATGCGGCAGTGTGTAAACTGTCGACCAACCGAAGAACGTTAGAAAACAATATTAACTATCTTTTTGAGTTAGCGTTCGAACTCAAGTAAAAAACGATATATTTTCTTTCGTGATTAAAAGTCATATATTGCTAAATGAAGTAGAATTTAACGAAACATCAGATAGAAAATAGAATAAAATGATTAGGCTGCAGTAAAACCATCCATGACTCATGACAGTAAAATTACCTTTCGTATAAACAATTTTACTATTATTTATCCCTATATAACATATCGAAAAATTTTGAAGCATTAACATTTGGATTTTACAATTGGATTTGATTTTAGTAAAATTTGATTAATATTCAGTTAAAAATTATGATAACTATTAAATAACAAGAAAGTCACTATAAAAGCCTTGTCGCCGTTCGAGGAAAAGTACTAGTTTAACAGGCGCAGCGAGAGTTAGGTGTGGGTGCGTTGCGAGGCTCAGTGAGCTGACAGAGTCAAGCAAGAAAATACAAAATGTGTATTGAAGTGACGAACTTGTAGTATTCAAGATATTTTGATTGTAACAAAGATATCGAAAAAGATGGAGCATCCATCTTCTAGTTTTTCGACCAATCTTCACAGCTCGTGTGACTTAGGTGGGGTGTAAATGGTGGTATTTCGTGAAATATTTGAGGAAATAAGGTGATGCGGCTCCAGCTAACCGTTGCCTTTTCCCCACAGAACTCTACTTCATCATCGCAAAATTTCTTTCTGCTGGTCCCTGCAAGCGATCTTCCGAAGTAAGTAGTGCGTAAAATATTGGAAATAAAAGTGGATTATATACTTTAAATACATTTCATCATTGATGTTGTGTTTTTCAGGTCCTGCTGAGAGAAATACAAGAACACGGGGTGAGTAAACGTTTGTTTGGATCTCAGCTGTTTTCGTTGCACGTGAGATGAACGTTTTTTTTTGTTAGTCTTTGGTTTCGTACTAGGAAACGTTTATTTTTTATATTTGGTTCGTAGTGTGAAAGTGAAAAATATATTCATTTGAATAGTGGAATGTGAAAATTGTATTTTTTATTATGAATTCTGTTTTTATTGATGTGTAAATATATATTTTTCAGTTAATTCCTGAACGTTTGGATTGGCAAGGAGACCATCACAAACGAAGTTATGCAGAATTTGTAAGTATATATATTAATTTTTGGAATTATATTTTTCGTTTTTTTTTATTTATGAGGTTTAATTGTTTGAGCGTCCGAATGGCCATTTGCATTTGTAAGCAGCAAGCCAGGCGGGTGGCTGATACTGCTGCCAGCAGCTGCGGTTCTCTCTTTAGGTATTGTTGCGCGCTGCTATGAATTTCGGGGGTTGTCCACAGAAAACGGATTCTACTACTACTAAGTAGAAAATCGTGAACTGTATGTCTAACGGTTGTATAATTTACAATTTTATTTGAAAATAACATCATGGGTTATAAATATTTTTCATACTCATCTCTTGATTTTTACAATGGCTGACTTCAGTTTTTTTTCTAATATCATCATTGAAACGATTGGTATTCGAATTTACGTTATTCAACTAAATGCTTATTTTTGGCTCTATGCTTGATATTTTTGTATAAACGTTAGTTATTTAAATTCACGTATAATTCGCAATAGATTTCAGCATGATCATCATTAATACTCGGAAATGTGAGCGTTCGCATTTACGGGTTTTTCGATTTTGTTTTCAAGATTATCTGCGACACTAACTCAACCCAGATTAATTTCCAATTAAAACTGTTTTTTTTTTTAATTTTATCGGCCATTTTAATAGTTCTGGGCTTAAATTGGTTGATTTTGGTAATATCTTTATAATGCTTTCATTCAACGCTATGCATCAACGGTCGTCAATGCTACGTGACAATCTTCTATTGAAGAGGCTGTACGGTATATAGGCAACATATGTAATGTCGCCTGTAGGCTGTACGGTAGGCTTCGAAGAACTTATTAGGCAACACTTCTTCTCCTTTTTTTTAGTTAATAAGCACAAAAAATGCTACAGTTGAATCGAAGTTCAGATCAACTCTCTCGTTCATGGTTTTAATAATATTTAATGTTACCTCAGGAGGCTCTACATCCAGATGTTACTCCCGACCACCTGGGGCTGCTGCTGTCACAACTCCGGTTTACGGTGGACAAATTCCTCCCCATCCCCCATCTCACCCCCTCCCGCCCCTCCTTCCTCAGCAAGAGCAGACTTTCTCTCCTTCGTAGGACGCTGCGTGAGTCTTCGTACATTTATTCTTTAATGATTCCTTTCTATGTGTTGAATTCTTAAAGGCCCGACCTAATCAAGCTCATTTTAACAGAAAATTCTTTATTTTTATGGCTCATTTATCTACATTGAAATACAAAAAACTCAACCTCACCAAGCAGAAGAGAAAGACAAAGAGAAAACATTGAAATATTATCCTCCATTTATTAAGAAATAGAGAATAGAAAATATCATTGAATTGTCTGAATATAAACTAAAACTAAACAGAGTGATGATGTCAGCAAAAAATTCCTATGCATATCTAATTGCAATAATGGTTTGGGATATCTATATCTACTTTCTCAGGCATGACCCAAATTGCAGACAGTGTATCATCACTGAGCAAATGTCACTGAAGCTACAACTTGGGATTTGTTAGGTGATGATGGGGCTGCTAATAGTCCATCCAAATCTTAGTTCTTCATCGTCCTGTGTCAAGCTTCTAATGATATCTCCACTAGTTCTTCATCGTCCAGTGTCAGGCTTCTAACCACTTCTCCACTAGTTCTTCATCGTCCTGTGTTAGCCTTCTAATGACTACTCCACCTCCTCCCACCAGACTCCCCGAAAATTCTCTCCAGCATTGAGCGCATCCTGACTTCGCTGAGGTGGGGGGGCCACGACCCGCCCTGTAGGCCAGTGCTGGGTCCCAGCCTGCACGGTATAATAACGGCGCGCTCCCTGGGGGGTAGGCTCAACAAACGGCATCTCTTCACTAATACTTTCTACGCCAGCCGCCTGCAGCTCCACAAACGCACTGTTGGACACCTCTCGTCTGTTTACTGCGTTCTCTTTGATAGAACTGGCAGGTTGGTGACTGACGAGCCAAGAGAGCTGGATTCTCTTTATTTAATTGTAAAAATTTGACTACAGGCTGATTGAATGAATTGTAAATGATTGACTGACTCTGAAGGAATTGGGATCACAAATTCCTTTATTCGTTGATGTAAATGATTTAATATTATTTGTAGGGCAATACAGACAAATAGTATGTCAGTGTCTATCCAAGAAGCTGAATAATTATATTAGAATGTTTGAAAGCCTGAAGCAAGACGCCCTATGATCTCTCGTAACTTCCTATTTTAGCACCGTACATACGCTGATGAGCAGGCGTTTCGATGGAAATTTTAAATCTCTTTCCTTTAAAAAGTTCTCATTTAACATTCACGCCGTTATTTGAGAACCTTTTTCTCACTTATGCTCGTCCAGTAAATCGTGTTTTTTATCCTGCACTCTCTCTTCCAACCGCGATATCAGGCTAACTACATGTCAGAGTATCATGACGCTTGTTATCCCCACCAGGTACATCGTGACGGGATCAGACGACACCCTCGTGAAGGTGTGGAGCGTGCGTGACGGTCGGCTGCTAGCCACCCTGCGGGGCGCCGCTGGCGAGATAAGCGACATCGCTATCGATCCTGAGAACACAATGGTCGCCGCGGGCTGCTGCGACAAGACCATTCGCGTCTGGAACCTGCAGACCCTCAGCCCCGTGAGTCTTGTGGTGCTCCATCGCCCCGTAGCCCCGTGAGTCTTGTGTTGCTCCATCACCCCGTGAGCCCCGTGAGTCTTGTGTTGCTCCGTAGCCCCGTGAGTCTTGTGTTGCCCCGTAGCCCCGTGAGTCTTGTGTTGCCCCGTAGCCCCTGTCTCTTATACACATCTAGATGTGTATAAGAGACAGNTGTATTTCGATGTGTTATGTTGCTACTTAAACCTTATACATGATTTCACTTGAGGCGTTTTCATTGTATTTTCCACAACTGATCTTCTTTATATTAATATCCGGTACCAAAAATAGATGTATAAGGTTTCTTATTCAGATGCCGTCAAAAGTTTATCAAACTGTTTCTCTTAATATTTTTTCATAACTCGATCACATCTATGAATTCGCTTCTCTCTGAAAGTTTCTTTGGTATTCAATTCCGAATTATGTAGCTATCATCCGTAATCTTCTCAATTTACTGCCAACTGTAACTCCCGCAATGAAATTTGTAATTTTAACGATTGTATTCCAGACGGAAACCTCTGAAGTACAACGAACGCGTACGCCCCGGGCACGCACAGCTCATCTGCTGCTCGTTCAGCGCGGGAGGCACGATGTTGGCGCTGGGTGGCGTCGATCATCACGTCAGGTGAGTCTTGCAGCAACTCTGCGGCGGCTATTATTTCAGCAACTCTGCGGCGGCTAAACTTCACCACGGCTAATTTACGATAGATATCTCAAGTTCACAATAATCTTTTGTTTCTGTATATCTACATCGCGACGATAATTTGTCTGTAGATATCTCAAGTTCGCGATAACCTTTTGTTTCTGTATATCTGTACATCGCAACGATGATTTGTCTATAGATATCTCAAGTTCACAATAACCATTTGTTCCTATATATCTACATCGCGACGATGATTTGCCTATAGATATCTAAACTTCGCAATATAAACATTTGTTCCTATATATCTCTACATCGCGACGATGATTTGCCTTTAACCATTTGTTCCTATATATCTACATCGCTACGATGATTTGTCTATAGATATCTCAAGTTCACAATAACCATTTGTTCCTATATATCTACATCGTGACGATGATTTGCCTATAGATATCTCAAGTTCGCGATAACCTTTTGATCCTATATATCTCTACATCGCGACGATGATTTGCCTATAGATATCTCAACTTCGCAATATAACCATTTGTTCCTATATATCTACATCGCGACGATGATTTGCCTATTGATATCTCAAGTTCGAGGCGCTATTTTATCTTTCATTTCTCAACTTTACAGTGGCCTTTTGATCATAGATAACTGAGATTCTCGACGGTCATTTAACCGTACGTATATCGTACAAAACAGGGTTTACCGGTTTGGCGGCTGCGACGGGCTCGAGAAGATGATCGAGCGCGCCGAGCACAGCGACTGTGTGGACAGCATCCAGTGGTGCCACGAGGGCCTTGCCTTCGCCTCTGGGTCACGTGACGGCACGGCGCTCATCTGGCGGTACAAGTGCCAAGCCTGGCACACCACCAGGCTTCATATGAACATCACCGAGCCAGGGTAACCATATTCAGCGGCAGGATATGTTAACCTTTATAAGCGGCAGGATATGTTAAACTTTATATAAGTACGTTGGATGTGAACATCACTGAGCCAGGGTAACCATATTCAGCGGCAGGATATGTTAAACTTTATATAAGTACGTTGGATGTGAACATCACTGAGCCAGGGTAACCATATTCAGCGGCAGGATATGTTAACCTTTATATAAGTACGTTGGATGTGAACATCACTGAGCCAGGGTAACCATATTAAGCGGCAGGCTATGGTAACCTTTATATAAGTACCTTACTATAAGTACCTTACGTTGTTAAATTATTGTGCATTTCACATGTAACTTGTGGTGTCTTGGCCGTGCATAACTTGTTAATTTTTTAAATGCTGATAGTTATTTCTTCCTTCTTTGTGCTTAGTTAAACTTATCATCAGATTGAGCGGCTTGCTATAAAACTTTTTTTTTAATTTACCAATTTTTAAAATTCCATAGGAACAAGTAGGTATGTAATTACTTGAATCAAGTGTATTTTATAATTATTACATTATTTAAAAGCTTTCTTCAATTCGCCAGAAACCCTCCCTCTCCCAATGCAAGCAACTCAACCCCTGCTGCCTTTGCCGGTGTCAGCCGCTCCTCCAACGCCTCATCGAATTCTGTCGCGGTTGCGGACCAGAAAAAGGTTGGCTACAAATATTTCAATCCTCTTATATTTTTCATTTAAACAAACTTATTGTAGGTATTAAGCCATTGTTGCTCCTACAGAGAATTATTGTAATATTATCGGGAAATCGATTGTAACATAGAGATTTTAAAAAACTTGCTTGAGTGTTTGAAGCCTGGTGCTGTAAATGCATGGGGTTTATTTGGGCGTTTATTTACAATATTTAGAGCAGGGTGGTCCAGTGCTTACAGTTCTGAGTACCAGGATTGGAGAAGTGAGTTGTGTGTTTGTTCCCAGCTTCCTGCGATAGTTCTGGTCAAGATCGGCCAGATGGTTGGGCGGTTTAATACAGCGAAATTTTTGTAGTGAGTTGCGTGTTCGAGACCACAACACGCTGTGAATGTTCTGTGATGTCCACAATCAGCGACAGGTCTTATGGCCTAACCCACGATGTCACCGCTTTTAATATTACTAATAGTACCTATTCTGTTTGGATATAATCTAGACCTAATTATCTAATTCGCATCATATATGAGAATCATTTTGATTGCTGGATAGCTGATATGTTTGCAGGTTCGATAGATCTTAGAAATTATGTATCGCGAACAAAGCCGGGATAGATAATGAATTAATGTAACGATATTGATAGATAATATATTTAATGTAGCTGTATTGCCGTCAGGTTCTGGTGACGATGGTGGGATGGTCTCTGGATGACGTGTACGTGGTGACGTGCAGCAGCGACCACCTCGTGCGTGTATGGGACAGCACCAGCGGCAGCCTCGTCAGGCTCCTGACCGGCCACACGGACGACGCCTTCGTAGTAGAAGCTCACCCCACTGACGTGAACATCGTGCTCACTGCTGGACACGACGGTGAGTATCGTGCTCACTGCTGGACACGACGGTGAGTATCGTGCTCACTGCTGGACACGACGGTGAGTATCGTCCTTACTGCTGGACACGACGGTGAGTACCGTGCTCACTGCTGGACACGACGGTGAGTGCCGTGCTCACTGCTGGACACGACGGTGAGTCACATCTCAACGCCTGGGTCCATATGTATTTATTTTTCCGTAAAAATTAAATTAGGCTAACGAAACCTGCTTGGATATATGTAGGTTGATAGTAGGTTTATTTTAGAAAGTTTCAAATGCAAGCTTTCTTGGCGAAGTCAACGAATTATTTAACTTAATATCAGAACACGTTTTCGCTTCAGTAGGTGTATAATGTTTCACTTTTTTTATGTCATAAAAGCCCTAGAGCCCTTGCCATACATGTAGCACCTATACATAAATATGTGTTCAGGATAGTTGATGAACGAAGCTCATCACCCATAAATGTGCTTCGAATATCGATGTTAATTTAATTCCTATGTATTTGTTATTCAGGCCAGCTGATGATATGGAACTTGAGGAGCGGCGCGTTGGTGTGTAGCTTCAAGAACGCCATAGAAGGGCAGGGTCACGGGGCGCTCTTTGATGCCAAGTGGTCGCCTGATGGCTTGCATGTCGCAGCCACTGACAGCCACGGCCACATTTGTCTCTATGGCATGGGCACCAACGAGCTCTGCTATAAGGTCAGACCTGGCGTTATTTGTTCTCAATATCTCTGGTCAACCTCGCAATATATCACGCATGACGCATGTTAAGAACAACATGCGTATCCATATCCTCCTTGTTGAGGCGTGCTTTTAACTCGGCCAACTTTGCGCATCAAATCATGAGTAGTATGTGCAAAATAAATAGATTGCTCCATTTCTCCTGTATTCCGATATGCCAAACTTCCCTTTTCTACACCGTAATGATTCGTAAAATAACGACCAATATTTTAGAATAATCCTGAAACAATTTTGCGATTTGTGGCCTGTCATCCTTTGTATTATCGCGTTTTAATTTCTTGCTATCCTCAACAAATTACTGCGTTTCAGGTTCCTCAGGAATTGTTCTTCCACACCGACTACCGCCCCCTGGTACGTGACATCCAACAGTACGTTCTTGACGAACAGACGCAGCTGGCGCCCCACCTCATGCCGCCGCCCTTCCTGGTCAACATCGACGGCAACCCTTACCCTCCAGCCCTTCAGAGGCTCGTCCCGGGCAGAGAGAACTGTGAAGACACGATGCTTGTGCCTAACGTTATATTTAATGCTAATGGTGAGAGCAATGCTCGGTTTGGGACCTAATCACGTTTTAGTTTTGGACTTGATAATATTAGAGGAGTTTGTTAGTTTGTTATGTTGACCTGCGTGTTGTGGATTTCTCGTAATCGGTGGTATCTATCAAAAGCAAAAGGACACCTAATTAACTCTGGTTATCTTTGATAGAAAAATTTTCTTTCTCTTTTTCTTCATATGTTTGACTGAGTATTTTCGTACTGACGGAAATGAAATAGCCGATGACATTTATATTGTATTATTGTGCAGCTAAGAAGTACAATGGGATAAGTTTTATTCAGAATTAATATTAAAGTTTATTCACTGTTTTGGTGTACAGGTGATCGTGAGGTGTTCGACGTGGCGGAGCTGAACGCAGTCAACGCCATACACAATCACGCCAACGCTGACTTGAACGGCGCTGCTGGTGCTGACGACGATGAGGAAGACGATGCTCCTCCCCTGCCTGCCCCACGTCCTCAGCCCCCTCCTCCTCCTCCTCCACCCCGACCGTCCGATTCTCCGGGGTTCTTATCCCCAGACAGCGTGGCGGCCCCTGAAGACCGGCCCCTGCTGGTAGACCAGATGATCGAGAGATTCATACGCGAGCAGCAGGAACAAATCAACTTGTCTTTTGGCAGAAGTGGTGAGATTCCGTGCAATAATAGTTAAGTTTCTTTCCTTATCATATTTAAAAAAGTGCCTGACCGTCTCAGTGACGTAAATAAAGATTTATTTCAATTCCCACATTCAGCGTCATTTAAACACTCTGCAAAGAAAATAGCCTACTAAAAATGTAATATATCCATGACTTGGGAAATGTGTTAATAATAACTGGAGATCACATCAAGGCTGGAGTCAATTAAGTTGTAAGAATGACCTTTACTTTGTATCGTGTGTGGTCGCTACGTATGAAAAGTTAAGCAATGCATTATTTGGTATCCATCAGTCTCTGTTGAATGGCTAACCGTCCTTAAATTCTTTGAGAGAAGCGAAAAACTTGTGTGAAATAAAATTTAAGAAAATACATTTATAACCTCAGTTCTGTTTGAGCTTTTTGTCACATATTACTTCTAATTTCACAGATAATTTTGGTCCTGATGATCAGCTGCAAACAGAATCCTTATCATCTGGCCTCCCCTTAGTATCTCCCTCTCCAATAACTCCGAGACCGTCCAGCTCGACTAACTTTACCTTCGGTTTACCTGGCACTTCAGCAGGCGACTCAAGAGTTCCTCCTCCCATAATTTCACCTCTTATGGTGCCTAGATCATCGAGTGCTGCTAATGGCCCGTCATCCAGCTCTGATGCGGGCCCCTCTACTTCATTACCTCGACTTAGTCCAATTGGAGCATCGTTATCCAACGAACGTCGCCTCAGCACATCGGCTGATGGAGATGCACCACATCGTCGTCTTTCTAGTTCAAGTTCAGCGAACCCTAATCTTCCTGGACCATCGGGTATTAATTCTCACAGCGATCGAAGGACGAGTCACTCTGATGCACTTCATGAACGCCATCGCATCAGCTCTGGAGCAGAACACTCCTATGCTGCTGTGGCCAGTAATGTGGCGGCGTCACCAGGAGCCAGCAGGGGAGGAGCTCGCTTGGTAGGAGACGTTGAGGGGGTTCGACACAGCACCGGTGACTGGCAGAGGGAGTCTTTAGAAGTAAATTGGACACCCCGCCGGGTCTTGGTGCGTCCCCTCTCCCCGTCCGTCCTCCGCGTGTCCAGGGAACGCCGTGTCCACCGTGCTGACCAAGAGGAGCAGTGCTATTTAAGAGAGGCTGCTAAGCCACCTATTTTGACGGACGGCAGCGACAATAGCGGTCGTTTTGATGGCAGGAACGATGATGTATCGCCAAGATCTGCCAGAATGAGACGTCAGCAACAGCGGCGTCAACAGCAGCAACGACACGAAAACCTCACTCCTCCGTCCGTAGCTCGAAGTTCTAATTCGTCTTCTGCAAGAGGCTCGAGACCGGCCAGAGGTACCACAGCGAGATCCAGGAACACCGCAGATGGGGGCAGATCGTCCTACGCGACCCGGGCCAACAGAGAGGTGGGCAGAGGCCGTTACTCCCTCGATTATGAAGACCCTAATGCAGTAGCATCACACGACTCAAGTAACTCAGAAGAATCGGATCTCTCGAGTTCTTCTAACTCCAGCAGCTCTGGGGAGTCCAGTGATTACTCAGACTGGACCGCAGAGCAGGGCGTGAATCTTGAGCCTCCAAAGCGCACTGCTCATCGTCAGAAGAAGAGTCCCTCGTCGCGCCGTAAGCTGCGTCACGCGCGGAACGCTGCCTCTGACGACAATGACGAAGACGAGGATCAAGTGAACACGTCGTCTGAACAACAAACGCGCATCAGTAAAAGGGAAAGAAGGCGGAATCCCAGGTACCTGGAAAGTGATCAAGCCGAAGCACTGGGCGGCAGCAGCAGCAGTGATGAGGAAGAGCCTCAGCTACCAACTCCGGCTCGTCAACGCAGGGTAATTTACGGATTTTCATTATTCAAATATGGGTTTTTCATCTCCTTCACTTACTTTCCAATGGGCACTGTATCTTCAAGAGGAAAAAAATATTCGCTTTTTCAGGTTCCCTGTAACGATACCCCAAAAATTGGAAGTAACCAATTTTTTTAAGTTTTTTGTGGAAACGAATATTTCTTTGTTTATATACTTTTATAGCGAACTTAATTTTTCATTATAATATTTACATAATCTTGGCTTTATAGCATCAATAATGGTTATTATTGGGTAGAGTTGATATCACATTCTTTTTTCTATAATAAAGACAATTAAAATAAGAGAATAAAACATCAATTGCAGTTCCTCTTCACTTGACTGCAGTATGAATGAAACATTTTTTTGATAATATCGTGCTGCATAATTGCATATTAACCGTGCATGTGTGTCCATCCTACGTTTTAGTATAATTACCAGTCGTGCTGCTCGTTGTGAGAGCAAAGCGTCCAAGTGTGCGCGTATTTACGAGGATAACAGAAATGAGGACCAATGTTTAGTGTGAGGGCAAGGGCTACGGACAAAATTACGATTAAGAAGTACTTTTTCGAGTGAAAACTAAAAAAGATAGTCGTGTTTTCATGGGGCTTGACTTTTTTTTCTAAACTTGCGTGAATTTTATGTTAAAACCATATTGTTTTTTATGGGGTGTATCGTTAATTTCCGTAACTTTTGCTGATCATGCTACAGCTCTGTGGAGACATCAAAACTTCTTCATGCAATCTCACTTTTATCATCTTCATCTTGGATTTGTTCACTTTTAAAGTTTAAATTTCTTCTAAATTTCAGGAAGTTCGTGGCCGAGTTGACAACTTGAATGAGTCGAGCGACTCTGAACCTGGCGAGATTCCTGAAGCATACCGTCCTCCTGAGTGGCTCACGGAGACGCAGCCTAAACGAGCGCCGTACTTCCCCCAGATGGGCGACGAGCTCATGTACTTCATGCAGGGCCACATGGCTTATGCTCACGCCGTCGCCAAGAGGAAACTATACAATCTGGATACAAAGTCATTGCCTTGGAATAAACCTAACTCTAATATAAAGGTACATGGCGTCCTAATGGAATTTTTAGAAATGGACTTGTATTGAAGAGTAATTTCTTACCATAGTGGTCAACTTATAGTTCCATTTTACTTATAGTTTCATCCTACTTATAGTTCCATTTTACTTATAGTTTCATCCTACTTATAGTTCCATTTTACTTATAGTTTCATCCTACTTATAGTTTCATTCTACATTTTTCGTTAGCTTGTGGTTTTTAGTTATATAACATCCAAGTTTAGCTTGGCTTGTTCCTCATTCAACTGCTTTTTTCTTCATTAAGATTCCGTTGGTAAGCTGACCTTGTCCTCTGTACTTTCCTCGTGAGTTTGGTTCTGTAATTATTAACTTTTCCGTTGTTTTCTGCATTCTTTGCTTGAGCTGCAAGAAAAGTTTTTTGTATACTCTCTCAATAGGAAATTACTCCTGCCTCTTAGTGTGTGTCATCTTTTATTAAGAGGAAAGGGCGATCTTTTACAAAGAGGAATTCATTGTAAATAAATTCTTGCAACATCAAAAGAGAAAACACGATTCTCCCTTTGCCCAGACCATATTACGAAATTTTTGTATTTGATATTCTTTATTTATTTTAACTACTCTAGTAACAGTTTACTTCTTATCAATTTCCCAGGAGTGCGAGTATGTTAAAATAATTGGCATCAAATACGAGATCCGTCCTCCCCGGCTGTGCTGCCTCAAGCTCGCCATCCTGAACGCTAACACTAACCGCATCTCAACGGACACGTTCACGCTCAAGTATCACGACATCCCTGACGTGCTAGACTTCCTCGTGCTCAAACAAATGCATGATGTTTCAGCTGCCAGAAACTGGCAAGTTGGTGAGTCATTCTGAGGCATAAGTCTTGAGCCCTTTGGTGGGTAAGTTACCATATATTGTTGATTGTTTCTGTGTATATATATGTATGTCCGCCCGATGAAGGGTTAAAGGTGACAAGTTTTTTTGCACGTGTCACATGAGTATTTTCATAAATAAACCGTTCTTCAACTGTTGAAAAAATTATCCTTTTTCGTTTGACGTTATTTTCGAAAGGCTCTTTATGGGGTTTNTTAATAATTTGCAAGTTTTATTCTGAATTTTATACATATTTTGTCTTTACTTCAGCTTGTGAGCGCTTTAGTCAACATTATGTTTGATGTACAGGGGACAGATTCCGGTGTATCATAGACGACGCTTGGTGGCTGGGCACCGTGACACGACGTGAGCTCTCCAGCGAGGAGTGCCCTGAGTCGCTGTTCATGTGTTATTTCGTCACCTGGGACAACGGGGAGACGGAGAAACTCAGTCCCTGGGACATGGAACCCATCGGTGATGTCGGTTAGTTCATGTTATATGAATATACTTGTTTTGGCTTGGTAGTGTCAAGTATATGAAGCACATTCCATAGAAGAATTCAAGTTTTTTAACGTACCTGAATATGATATTTAATGTGCTCCTAGATGTAAAATTGATTCATTATTATCTCTTGCAGCCAATGCAGACGAAAGTGGAGCTGGGATAAACGTGAGTGCTGAGGAGCTAGAGCGACTTCGCTACAAATGGACGTGTGAGGATTGGCCTGAGGGCCGCGACGGCGCTGACGAGTGCAGCAGACTGGCCCACGGTCTGGGTCTCGTCATGAGTCTCTCTGTGGCCGAGCCCTTCCTGGCGCCCGTTGACCTCAGCGTCTACCCCAACTATGCCATGATCGTCGAGTACCCCATGGATCTCTCCACTATCAAGGTGAATATTGTGCCAAACTTGTACGAATGAGAATTTTCTAAAAGCTTTACTGGATTTTTCTAATCGCTCTATAATCTTTTTAATTTTTCTGCGGTCTTTACTTGCTCTCCAAGGACACCAAGATTATTATTAAATGTTTTGAAGTATATTGCTCGTTGATCTTAGTAGCATGTGAGTAGAGATCTAGTAAAACTTGTTATCAATGGTCTTATATTCTTTTACATTTAATTATCAGAGTCGTTTGGAGAACGGATTTTACCGGCGGCTGAACGCAGTACAATTCGACGTTCGCTACATAGCGACTAACGCCGAGAAGTTCAACCAGCGCGGCAGCAACATCGTCAGACAAGCTAGGATTGTTACTGAACTCTGCCTCGACCTCATCAAGTGAGTTCTAATGATGGCTGTGAGCGTGAACGATTCACTGAAAATTTTCCTGCTTAACTTATAAGTTTAGCAAAATAATTCTCCTGGTATTTCTGATCTAATTTATAATGCATAAATGTTCTATCGAGGCATTACATCATGATTTTCCTGATTTTGAAACGGTTTTAGTTTATTTATTAAATCTCTTTGAATACTTCAGTGCATTTCGCTAGTTGGAAAACATTAGTTAAGTAATCTGGCACCAGATAATTTGACATATTGAGTTCGCAAGACTGCTCATTGAATTAACTTATGTTGTTCAACGTTCGAGATATTCCCGATTGTATGGGCATTGTAAACTTGACGATGTACGGGGTTTCCACTAATTTAATACTCATAAGGGTAATGCATGAATTAAAATTTGTTATCTTTTCCCTTATTGATGATCGTAGTATTGACACTTAAAGGATGCCATGATTAGCATGATTATTTTGACTGCAGGAACCCACTGTGTCGCGACCCCACGGCGCGTTACCACGAGATCGCCAAGACCTACCACTCCCCCAACGCCTCCGACTTGGACGCTCCTGGACCTTCTGGGGCATCCACGTCTACTGCCGGTCCTGGTGCGCTATTAGTTGAAAATTCAGACCATTAAAAATCGAGACCATTGATTAGTTGAAAATTCGTAATAACCATTGAAATATATTTCTTTCATACCAGGATATCTTTCTTTTTTATCTAAGAACATTTCTAATCGCGAATGATCGCAATATTTTAATTCTGTTGTAAGTATTGTTTCGATAATCGCAAATGATTTTTCTGGGCGGCTGGAGTTAAATACACAATATTAATGAGATCCTGATAGTCGACAGTACTCAAGCACACGTTTTGTATTCTGAACAGAATCGACGCAATGGGAAGTTGTTACTCTGATCGATAATATCGAGAATTTGGAGCGGACCACCTGTAGGAAGTAATAACACGTCTTTGATATTGAATCTAATGAGAACTATACTAATCTGTGATGGCTGAACAGGCAGGGGACGTGGCCGCCGAAGAGCTACAAGTACCCCGGGCAGCACGTGGCAGCAGCAGTGCCGGGAGGTTCTTCGTGCCGTCTTTGAACGCGAAGATAGCATGCCCTTTAGGTGAGCCTCTTTGCTCGTGATCTTAATTTTTAAGTAGAACTTAATCAACGCAGGTTTCCAACGACTACACAAAAGGGATTTAAAGTCGAATAATTGAGTGGCAGTTATGGTTAATGTTTGATGCGCTGAGCATGATAGCAGCAGAGTTGTCTTGAAGTTAATAAGTGTGGCACTGAAAGATGCATTTGATTATCTCTGTGGATTCCTCGTCCTCAAGTGAGATGCTCCAAAAGTTATCTGGTAATTTATGTCATTTTACATAATCAAAGATCGAACTACAAAATGATCACACATTTTGTTTACAATGCGATGCTGCTCTTCAGGTATCCCGTTGACTTGGAACAATACCCAGACTACGACCGAGTCATTGAAGTACCCATGGACCTCACGACCGTGCGGGAGGAGCTAGCGACGCAGTCCTATGAGTCTCCCCACGAATTCGCGGCCGATGTTAGACTTATTTTCTGTAACAGCAAAAGTTACAACACAAACAAAAAGTCTAAGGTAATGGGTTAACTTTGTAGTACAACTTATTCACAATTTTTTGAATTATTCTAGTATCGAGAAATTGTTGAAGTCCGAAAGATGACGATTGTAGTGACGGTTATCGGATCTTTGTTTTGATGCTCGACGCGATTAATTTTTATTAACATATATTTTATTGTAATTTATGAGGTAATATTGGAAGGTTCATTTAGAATTATTAAACAGGATGGGGTTGCGTATTGGGAAAAATAATACCAGGTGCCTCAGATATTCTTTAATTCTCTTATGCTTTTTTTCGCAGATTTATTCAATGACCGTCCGCTTGGAGGCGTTTTTTGATGACAAGATGAGAAGTGTCTTCGCGAACTATCAAGGTTTGTTATCGTGAATATTTGATGATTCACTGAACAATCAGTAGCAAGTAATGTCGTTTGAAGTCATACACTGTACTATTTGTTTATCATCTAATGAAAATCTACCATTTTCCTTGTTTCAGCTCAAGAGAAAGCTCTGAAGAAGAACAGCAAGCGACTGTCTAAATCTGGCCCGTCAACCCGCAAAGCGAAGTCCGCCTCCGCGGCTACCTCAACATCCGCAGAAACTAGACCATCATCGTCAGTCACGTCGTCAACTCGTGGTCACACTTTACGATCAACGCCGGGAATCGGACGAGGAGTTTCGCTTAGCAATCTAACGTCAGCGTCGGTGAGGTTACGACGTCTCACGAATCATCAGGAGTTTCAGTTTAGACCGTCTCGACTTGAGAGTGACAGTGGGGAGCATGACTCAGACAATGAGGATGTGGAGAATGACGAGGCTGCAGTCCCGGAAGACAGACAAGTAAGAATTAACAAAACTCCGGAAGAGGATGACGATTCTCACGAAGGAGAAGATTCTTTAGGTGCTAGAAGATCTAAAAGAGTTGCCAAGTTGAAGAGACTGCAAAGCTCCGATGATTCAGATGAAGACTATTCCCCCGTTAAGAAACGAGTGATGGAAGGAAGTGGGGGTCGTGGGCGGAGAAAAGCTTTGGCTGGGTCTTCAAAAGCTCAAGCAAGTGAGAGCAGCACTAGTAGTGTTGGTGTTCGTCCTCGTATAACTGTTCAATACCAAGAAGATTCAGACTCTGCGCAGGATGATGAATATGGTGCACCGTCATCGTTACACACTGCTACACTAAATAATTCGAATGCTTCCAAGTCTGCTAAAGGTAAGACTGGCGGTGTTGGGTCTACTAAAAGAGTTGTCCTTAAGCTAAGTTTACCTCAAGAGAGCGATCAGGCAGATGTTGGGACTTCGGAAGACGTGTTGAATGCTGCTGATAATAATGAAGATAATGTTAGTGGCTCAGACGACGTCTGGGATAAAAAAGACGCCGACGATGGCAGTGAGCAGAATGAATCTGCGTCAGGCACGAGTGTCAAACGTAAACTGGCTGTTGAGAGCAGTGACGACGAAACAGAGCGAAATAGTGCGAGATCACCACCTGGAGAGGCTCGTGGGGAAAGTGTTGAAAACAGTGCCGAAGAATCGGAAGACGAGGCAGCTGATAATGCAACTAAAGAAGCCGAGTCTACTTCAGATGATGTTAGTCGGAGACCTAAAAAAAGAAGAAAACTAAATATTAAATCGGTTTCTTCAGAAAGTTCAGATTCTGATCATCGTGGTGCGAGCCAGAAGTCAAAAACTCCGCTAGAAAACGGTAGAAAGTTGAACAAAAAGAAAGTGATTCCAAATATTGGTAGGAAGATGCCGATATATGAAGGCAGTCTCTTGTCCGCTTTCGGTAAGAAGAAGCAGAAGGAGGACAGCGAGTTTGAGTGCGACGCAAACGATTTTCAGTCTAGTGAAGAATATTCGGAGGAGGAAGTCGAAAATAAATCTAAGAAACTAGTGAGAAAAAAATTGCCGCGTGTTCGTAAGTCGCGCCGAACTGTACTCGACGGAGACGACGTCGTTGACGACGAAGACTTCGTAGTGGATGATTCTGTGCATCACAAGGAAAGGTCCGACGAAAGTAATTCACTATCTTCGTCATCGTCATCATCTTCATCTTCTTCAACATCGTCGGACGAAGACCAGTCGGAAGAAAGTGACGAAATAATGTCCGGGAATCAAAAAAAGAAATTAAAAAAAGATCAGCACCACAAACGCTCCAAAGGTGTATTGAAAAGCAGCGCGGGTGCTGGGAAGAAATTACCCCTCAAGTTCAAACCCGGTCAAACATCGAAGAATAAGCGCGGGGGAAAATCTAAGGCTGGAAAACACAAAACCCGTAAAGAACCTTCATCATTGAAACGGAAGGCGTCGTGGCTTGCAGATGACGATGAGCCATGTGACTACGAGAGCGGTGACGAAGTTATGGATGGAGAGGAAGTTATCGGGACAGTGTCCTTCAACAGCGACGATGACAACAGTGAAGGTTACTCTCCTAGAGGACGCGGTGCTGGCCCAGCAAAGAAAAGAGGAGGGCGAGGAGGTCGTCGGGGGGCCAGTACGGCAGGCTTCAGACGTGCCATTGATGCCTGTCAGGCAGAAGAGGTGCGGAAGAGCAGTCGTGGGCAGCGCAAAGTTCGTTACGATGAAACAGATGATTTTTACGACGAGTTCGATGATCTCAATGTTAGTAGTCGCGGCCGAGTAAGGCGAGCCAACACAATGATGAAGGACTTTATTTGAGCAATGAAAGCACGGACACTAGTTTCGAGATATTTTCGTGTTTTACCATTCTAGCCTTATACTTGCCAAGGGTTGTGAGGTCGATTTAGTGTTTGTTATGATCACCGGTGCATAGTGTTGTCAGAGTTTTTGTGTTCAGGCGCATTTCTTGTTGTGCTGGACGTTATATATTTTTTTTCTTGCTTATGTTTTCGGCATTATGATCCCATTGACATAATTGATTGTTGATGCATAATACTGTGGCTTACAACCTTATGCTTATATGTTACTAGGAGGGCGGGTGTGCTTTTGTATAATTTGAGAATGGACATAATTTCGGTTATTAGCATACAATCATATGCTATTGTCAGTCCATTAAAGTATGCTTTAGCTGTAACAATAAGATTGCTACTTGATGTAATTGCAAATGTAATATTTGAAATCTACAAAAGAGTTTTCTTTGAGAGCAACGAGATCGTTTACGTTTTTGTAACTTTGGTTTCCAATGCCCTCTCTATCTGCGTTTCCCGACCGGGGAAATGATTTTGTTTCTTCGGCTTCCTTCCAGAAAGAATGTCCACAGTCCACGCGATGTTGTACGGAAGAACAATGCGGTCTGCTTCAAGCGCGCTGTTGTAAAATTGTTCTAATTGTTCAGGAATAAACTACATTGTGTATCAATGCTCTGAATTGTTTTAATTCAGTACGGCTTTTGATTCTTAGTGTTTAAGGTATTATTATTTTGTGATGTGCATCAATGTATTTCTATTTATTTTATTTGCATAGTACAAAGTTTGACCTTAGTTCGGTCTTAGTTTTTAGTTAACTTTTGTATAGCGTAACATTGAAGTGAGCAGAATTGCCAGTATTACGTAAAGTCGACTGGTCTTTCTACGATATCTTTTAGCGGAGACTAAAATGATGAGAAACAAGTCTAATTTGAGAAAAATTCTTGTTCTCTCTGCTTTGACCTTGATAACGTCGCAGTGACATGTTTTTAACATGTAATGATCAATGATGAGGGCTAATGTTCATGTCCTGTTGGGATCGTACAAAATATTACCTTCTTGGCGGTACAAAATGATACAAGCAGGTAATGGCGCACACTCCGCTATATGATGTCTTCTTGTTCTCAGCGTCTTGATGCGTGTTTTATACCGAGTCATTTGAATGGTTGCTTAACAAGAACCAGTAGAAATTTACTCGCAAGTAAATTGTTTTTGTGGTATCCAGTTTAGTTTCGCTTTTCTGGTATTCCGTTCCTGGTTGCTACCAACTTGAAATTTTCCCATCGTTTCATTGTCTCGTAGTCGGGCGCTTGTGCATCAGTGCTGTGGTGTTTGATTTCACTCTTGAATTTAATTAAATTAGCAGTTTTTTGAACATAAGAGTGATTAGTATTTCCTTAGAGTAAAAGAAGTCTCCGACTCGTGTAACGGTAATATTTTGGTACTAAATGCGCTCAATTTTTTACGTACATGTTTCTGTCTACGTAATATAGGCACGGCTGTGATACGCTAAGGCTTATGTAATTGTAGATAAATGTAATTTTTTACCGCTTACGCACCTTTCACTACATGAACTCCATACAAAAATTCTTTCATAATTATCTTTGGGTGACGGCTTATTCACTGGCTCTCCAGTCTGTTCAGAATTTCTTTCAATTTCAGAATCCTGAACATAATTGTTTGTTCAAATTTACTTTCCCACCAACAAATCCAGGATGTCTGTGATGGTATAACCACACTTCTGGTAGTACTTGCTTCCTCGTTTCTTCGCCATAATGTGAACAATGATGTGCTTTGTCGCTAACTTGACAATTCGCTGATAGTAATTTAGTAAGCTATTAAACCCGGGAAAGCAATCAAGGATAGGATTCAAGCTTATTTGGCCCAACAGTTGTTTTTCAACGCATTGTTTTTTATTGTACGACACAGTGACTTCTATGTTCTGGCATATCCTATATGGTACGATCCGAACACGCACGGCAAAATCACTTTTATTAATGTTCCGAGATAAATTCCATCTTATACTTTGGAGTGACCGTAGGATTGCGGGGTCACGTTTAACGTCAGCAGCGTTGCCAACTGGTATTTTCAGACAATATCTGGTATTGATGTTTTTGATCTGGTAATATGGCCTGAATCTGGTATATTTATGGTATTTTCCGACTTATTGGTAATTAACTGAATTAATTTTCGCCTCTGATGTTAGAACTTCCCCCAGCGTGAACGTGGAATATATAGATTATTCGAACGGCGTGACTAGAGCTTTCCCGCCATTTTTGGAATCGCGAGATTACCGCTTGATGAAATAACTTCAATCTAAATGTTAACATTTAACAAAAGTGCTCAGTACAGCAAGTGCACGAGAGTGATGATTCATGATTGCTTACTGATCAGTGATTATATGCTCTTTGACGAATAAGGTTGTCGAAACGAGCTCTGCGACGCGAGCTCATGCGTTTCTGTTTGGTGGATTTGAAAGCAGATTGTCAGTTGCCTATTACCACACTCTTGTTAAATTTTATCCCTAGTTAAACACACTAATCAAATTGATTCGTGGCTCCACATACTCTTGTAGGTTTTATTTAAAAAATGCAATGCATGTGAAACTTAGACGTGAGTGACTTCCGTAGGCAATATTTAGAATAACGAATCTTGCAACGTAACAATAACTACAAACTACAAGAATGAAGAAAATGATTTGGAAGGCTTGAATTTAATTCCAAACATAAGCTGCGAAAACAAATATCATTTTTCTAGCTTTCTATTTCTTAGGTTCTTTCTCCCAACGTGCGCAGGCCAGTTCGCAGGCGAGTTTTTTGAAGTGTCGAATCGGTCCATGGCTCCCAAAAAATCATCCCACGCATCACGCAAATACCAAATGGTAAATACCAAAAATTCGTCAAGCCTGAAATATGCACTGTAAAAACGATAATAAATAACCTTTATATTTTCTAATCAACGTTTCTGACGAATAGTTTCATCAAGTATGAAGGTATTAATATGTTTCTGGAAACATAAAATTTCTGGTATATTTATGGTATTCTGAGCTAGGCAATCTGCTGGTATGCTCGACGAGTAAAAAGTTGGCAACACTGAACGTCAGCTGCGGACGCGTAAGGTAAGCGACGTCCGCGGTGACGTGTTTCGCAAGCAATTGCTGGTGGCTGGTGCCACGGTGCCACCACGGTTTAAAAGGTAGAAAATTTAGCTAGACGTCAGATACACGCTATGACTAATGTTTATTATAAAAGTGGTGCGCAGCCGTCATTCTCCAATGTCATGTCACAGGTGTGAAGTTGCCCTAATAGGCCAATAATGCCTATCAGTCATCAGTGACAACAGTAACCTAGCCTATAGGCTATAGTTAGTAACTTTACTAACTTAGTAGGTACAGCTGGGGAAGAGTGCGTGAGTATCTGAAGATTTTTGGCAACAACACATCAGCATCAAATCTGTGTCTTCAGAAGGTCTTGCCTACATTTCTCTTATATTACCTATCTTTTTACATGTATTTTTGGCAAAAAGATATTGAAAGTTATGTAGTTCTGGAAACGAATCCCCAATAATGCTGGAAATATATTAAGCCTTACAGTTACTGCCTAAGAAGAGTAGGTAGGTATCTTGGCATTTGGCAACACAATTGCCAAACTCTGCATAGTTGGACTGACATACCTACTCTGCCTTGCCCAATCTGGAATGTCAAGCAGAATTATAAGAATATGAGTTTAAAAAGTTCTCTATAACCCTTTTTTGGGCAAGTTACCATACATGAATATGGTAAACGCGGTATATTCTGACATCGTTGATCGTGGGTAATTCCGACTCCTCTCTAGTTTTTCCTTTATATTAACTAATTAAGCTTTGTTTTAGTTCCATGCGTTTGTTGATGGTTGAAATAGTGACATCATACATTAGTGCGTCAAACTACTGCCAAAACACTAGGTCTGGGCCATCTAGCTGGAAAATGTTGAGATCCAAGGAGAGACGGTGCATGTCACCCAATGAGATCATCGAAAAATGTGTCAAATTCGAGTGAGTTGACAGTTGACCTTGCTCTACCAAATAGTAATAAACTGTTTGTGTAGAAAGAATATTATGGTTTGAGACTTTTAAATATAGGTTTGCATTCTAAAGGCTTTTAAATAAATATGGCAACATTTTGTGACGTTTCATCATTGCTGGCGCGTAGTGAGGTGTTTTGAGAGTCACGTAAAACAAACAGAACTCGAGTAACGCATAAGGTTATTTTTTATAGTTTTTCATTTCTCAATGCATCCTCAATGTGTCGGAATATACCGCGTTTACCCTAACATGATAAATGAAATTGCCTCACAAAGAATGAAAGAGATCCACCAGCCACCACGACTTTCTGTTTGTGTTTGAGGCTTTCTAAGTCAATCCCTAATTAGCTAATTAGCTGACCATTGTTGCATCCATTGTTGCATCACCACCTCTACCCGACGTACCCGTCATGCCCAAACATAAAAATATAAGAATTTTAATGAAAACTTTGACTGGGACGATGAAATTGACGCTCTTTCTGCATTTTCTTTAAAAATTGGAAGTATCACTATGTATTTAATTGTTTAAGGTTACTTGATTGAATTGAAACTCTATTGTAAGTTTTTATGTTAATTATTTTTCCATTTGCATAACTACATTTTTATTATCAAGAAAATATTTTGTGTAGTGACTGCAATCACTGCATTTAATAAATTCTTCAAGAGCAATTTAGGTATATCTCCAATATGCAAAATTTTTATAAATACATACAAATAAATATTTCATATAAGGCTTCTTACTTTTTTGAACTAGTTTCTGAAATTTTATTTCTGGATATTGCCAGCTAAAGGGTTAAAGACCACACTTCTAAAGAAGCCGGTCTCTCAGATGTTACATTGTACACATGTACAATAAATTTCTTATTTTATTTGCAAATATTAAAACGGTAAATTTATAAAATTATTCATAAAATATTTTAAAAAAATTATTTTTATCATGCATTGTCCCCAACTCTGTGCAAGTGTACAAAAATTTCAGATTGTTTAAAAAAAATTATTTTTATCATGCATTGTCCCCAACTTTGTGCAAGTGTGCAAAAATTTCAGATTGATTGTAGCAGACAGACAACAACTTGAACAAGAAAGCAAGTTGAAATGAAGTGTAGTAAAATTCATATGAATTTAAAAATTATTTTTTAAAAACAACAGTTTTAAAGAGGCCTGTGTCTCTGATGTTACAGATAACAGATCTACATTGAATTTCTAATTTTATTTTTAAATATTAAAATGAAAATTATTTATTCTGGCAATTGATTCAAGCATTGTCTCCGACTCTATGCAAATGTGCAAAATTTCAGGTTGACTGTGTAATGGGTCAACTTTATTGTTCAAGTGAGGGAAGGTATTCAAGGTTCTTTGAAATCTAAAGGGTTAAATAAAACTTGGCCTCCCAACTCCCCTTATAGCCATCCCTGTCCACCAGGTGTTTTTTCTCTTTTTGTTCAACTTTATTTAATTCTAATACAAGCATTAATTATTAAGGTACTTAAAATTTAAACAAGATAGGGAACCCTAAATAAAAAAACCTAGCCAAATAACTGGGTAACTGGAAAACCGTTAACCATATACTTGGATAACTGTATAACTCCTAAACCGGACAACCGGCAACCGTACAACTAGGCAAACGGGCTACCAGGCAAACGGGGCATGGGTCGCTCATGAAAGTGCTCGAAGATGCCTCTGTAAAATATCAACACTATCACACCTAACACAGCTATTAATAAACACATCAATACAAATTTCAAAACATATATACACAATAAACAATCAAACAGGTTAACAGATAAATATATTTCTCATCTATAACAGTATTATCACAAACACGACATTAAAATCTTTACCAATGAATATGAGCAGTGATTTAAAAAGGTATATCTTGGCAACCACTCACCAACCACAGGCAGTAGTGTGTGTATGATATAATGGCGGATAGGAGATTTGAAATTTTAATCAATCACCACTGACATAAAATAATGGTCTGCAAAAAGGCAAAGAGAATGAGATGGAGAGCACTGATAACACAAATATTGATGTTTACCATGAATTTCAAGATTCTAAAAACAACTCTACATTAACTCGGAACTGGGAGAGCGTTACTTCCCCAAGTGGGATCAAGGTTACCACCACTCTCCAGCAGTAAGAGTGACAGCCCATAACAACTGGACAGGAAGAAGTGTGTTAAATATTGATTATAAGATTTATAGCAGACAAAAAACAAACTACAAGAAATGGAGTTACAGAGGAGTGTTGTAAATTGTAATAATGAAATAGAAATTAGGGGTAAAAATGCTTGTTTCTGGCATGATTTTCAATAATTTGCAGCAAAATGTACTGCTTTTTTCAGTTTCCAGAGAAATAAATTGGACTAAGGCCATTAAGTTGATTAAATTAGGTGAAATTGTCTACATGCACAGTGCAAGCTGTGCAACTAGTGCAAGGGCATTTTTGTCTCTTTTGTGAACAGCTTTTGCCTATTTTTACAACACTTCTCTTTTACTTCACTTCTTGCTTGTCTCCTACAAATCTTATCATCGATATTTAACACACTTCTAAAGTTCTACCTGTCCAATCTATCTGTTATTTTGCACACTTGTGTAAAGTAGAGACAATGCTTGAATCAATTGATAGAATAAATAATGTAAAAAAATTGGGAAATTTTTTTAATATTAAAAATAAATTTAAAAGTACTTTTTTTAATATTTAAAAATAAAATAGAAATTCATTGTAATTGGTAACATCGGAGACACTGGCCTCTTGAGAAGTGTTGTCTTTATAAATTATTTTTAAATGCATATTATTAAAGTTGGGGTGCTTGTTTCATTGAAGGCTGGGCAATTGAGTTGAATACATAGTTTATATGGGACTAACATAAAATACTTTATTTGTACCTTTGCCTAGTTTTTCTTTCAATTATGTGATTGAATGACTCGGCTGTCAAAAATGTAGAAAAATTTGTATAAATGACCAAGAGGACATGGATATGAAAGAGATATCCAGTGGTTATTTCTTTAATTTAATATCATTGTAATATGATCTGAATTAATGCAAAGCAATTTAGAGGATCTGATGTCAAATTGTCAGAGCCACTTGAGTTTCCACAGTCCATGAATTGATCAATTTAAAAAAAAAAAACTGAACCACACCATCCTAGCAAGATCAAACTGCAGCATATTTTTTGTGTCATTTCATTGCCACTAAGTGTGGTTTTGACTAAAATTACCAAGTATTCATTGATGAGCAACAAATTGAGTGCAGGATCTGCTGTGTGGTGACTGACATCATTGTGGGTTGTAATATTTATGAGACTACACATCAGGTGCATTTTTCAAAACCAAAATTGAAGCAAGTTTGTTCAAGGTCTACCTTATTTAGAGTTTGAGTCTAATGGTAATTTTGAGTTATTAAGATCTATCTCAGTATTACTTCACTATTACTTTGTATTTGAGAAAAAAATAATGTAGAATGTTGTTGAGAACTTTTATTTTGAATTTTTCACACTTATAAAGTTGTGGGAGACATTCTTTCACTCTTACTTCATCTCATCCATTGCAGATGAGTTCTTGGCTGGTCACAGAAAAGCGTAGTTGGCCAGAATGGCTGGCACTTCAAGTGCTGAAGGTTGGTCCTATTCCAAAACATTTGGCTCTCATCATGGATGGAAACCGTAGATATGCCAAACTGCATGAACAAGAGACCTTCCATGGCCACATTGCTGGCTTCAAAACCCTTACCTATGTTTTAGCCTGGTGCAGGGATTTAGGGATTACTGAGGTAACTTCTTATGCACTCAGTATTGAAAATTTCAAGAGATCTAAAGAAGAAGTGGAGGGATTGTTATCTCTGGCCAGTAACAAGTTTGAAGAGGTACTCAACGAGGGAGAAAATTTGGCCAAACATGGTGTTTGTATTCGTATTATTGGAAACCTTGATCTCCTACCTACATATCTTCGAGCTCAGACTGCTGAAGTTGTACTTATGACCAGAAATAACACCAAATGTTTTTTAAATCTTGCTCTAGCATATACATCCCGTGATGAAATAACTGCAGCTGTACGAGAATGTGCTATCGCAATATCCGAAGGCCGCTTGCAAGAGACGGATATCACTCCACGGCTCCTGGAGCAGTGTCTCTACACAGCTCAGTCCTGCCACCCCGACCTGGTCATCAGAACTTCCGGAGAAACCAGACTCTCTGACTTTCTACTATGGCAATCACAATTTTCATGCCTTTTTTTCACTAAGGTTTGTAAAAATTATGTCGAAATAACTGGAACTATATAAACTGATCACTTTTTGGATAGGACTCTCAACTTGTTATCCATTTAACTTGTGTTTAGATAAGCTCATAATTTCTATCATATTTTGAACGAATGATTTTTTCAGATCTTATGAAAGAATTGATAATTACTTAATGATATAGAGCTAAATAAGTTATGAATTGTATTGACATGTGTTAAAATTTCCTTCACTTCCTGATATTTCAACCATTTGGCATGTTATACCATGACTTTGAAATTTTTATAAACTACTGTTGTTTTTATGTTATATTAATTTGATCGAATTGATTTTGTTGAAATAATTCCTAACTTGTGTGGCAAACATTTGCAGGTTTTATGGCCAGAATTGAGCATATGGCATGTGCTGGGTGCAGTGTTCCACTACCAGCGGCACCACCACACGGTCGTCGCGGCACGCAAGCAAGCCAAGCTCCTCTATGACCGCTACGAGCTCGAAGCTGATCAAGCTTGCTCTCTCGACGATCCCGTAAGTGTCTGAGTTAACACATCGTAATATAGAGAAATCTAACTGCTGGGTGCATACTTCTTAAACATGGTCTGTGTCTTCATATTATTCATAACAACTTCATCGAAGGTGGACCTCGATTAAATCCAAGATGATTCATAAAAATTAAATTCCAACATCATAGATTTAAATTTGAATTAGAAATTGCTATTATTGAGATTAAATGCTTAATGCTCCAATTCTGTTGAGTGATACATTTTTTGTACCTTAGGAGTGCGGTTGTGATGGGACCAAAGCTCGCAAGATCCGCGTAGAACGTTTTATTGCAGATCTTGTAGAACGGAGAGAGAAAACGTATCACGTGAGTAATTAATGTTACGAACGAACCTACTGATGAATTAATGTTACGAACGAACCTACTGATGAATTAATGTTGTAATTAAAATACATGAATTTCAAGCAAAGTTCGAAGTTTCTCGAAGTAATTAATGAAAGCTACTGTCTCAATAAATTTTCTAGTGATTTAAATATGTATGTAGTAGAGGTTTTCAATATAACTGCTAGGATACGAATGTAATCCAAGTTTTCACATCTAACTGCTAGCAGAGTAATTTACGTTTCTAATTATTATCATACTTTTGGATAATGGGTTTTAAAGGACTGCAAACATTGTTCGTAGCTATTGATATTTAACTTATCCTGTTTTCATTTCTAAATAGCTAAATATAATTTTCAGGCGCTGTCAACACAGCTGAAAGAAATCAAGAAGCAGCAACAAGAAAGTTGTGAGCAGGAGCAAAAGAGTGAGGCGTCAGGGCGAGTTAGAGTTATAGGAGAGTGTGGTGAGAGAGTTGTGTCAGTATCCGTTGCCGACCCCAGCCTTTTGAAAAGAGTCCAACAACGAATGCTGTTAGAGGCGAATTGAATCGGATATGTTAGTGTTGTATTAATTCTATGTTTGACAACATATTTTATGCAGAGCTGAGTTGGTANAATAACAGTGGATTTTGATAATTTAAATTTCAAATTCAACTTTTTAAATGACCGTAGATAAAGAGACACGGTATAAATACTAGAAACGATGACCAACAACGTAAAAATACAGTAAAACAGAAACGTGGTTAAAGCATTAAAGACGATGTTAAGCACGGCCAATACTCGCATGTGAGAATCAGTGTTGGGAAGAAATAAAGCTTTACACTGCAAGATAATAATAAATTCAAGACTTTAACTTAGGAATTCACTTTTTTTCAAAAAGATAAATTTTCTTTTGATATATTGGGTGCATATCTTAACGATAAACAGAGACATTACCTTAAGAATTTTTCTTCAAAAAAGATAAAGTTTCTTATGATATCTTGAGTAAATACGAATGCTCACGAGCGAACGAAGTCGACGCGATCAGCCCCCACGGGGGTCCTGACGCCCCTGGGGACGGGGGGAGGGGAACCTGCCAGAGGAGTCCTGGAGAGGGGGGACCCCGGGTTGCTGGGGGTCCGGGAGTAGTGCTCACCTCCCTCAGTTTTCATCCACTGCAAGAAAAACAAGTCATGATCTTCTGTCAAATAATCTTACATAAGAATACTTGCAGGTATTCCTATCTTTCGTTTGTTTTCTTTGTAATTGTTTTTTATTCCTATTTCTATTGTTTTTTATATTGTTTTTTATTCGTATTTTTATTCCATAAAATTGTTTAGGTAACCGTTAATCCTGACAATTTTAACACTTTAAAATGTATTTCTATTAATTATGATCACCGATACAGTATTGAAAAGTCAGTAATGTAAACGATTCCGCTCAATGCGACAGATCAAGTATTTGCATAATAAAAAATAAATAAAAACTTATTCTCTGACTTTCATAATAGGAAGCAATAAGGATGGCGGATGAACGCTGACGTTCACCTAGTGTGATTTGAGACGATAACATAAAAAAGTTATTTGCTGGCACCCGCCTGGCGTCAGTTAAACGAAGGCAGGCTAGTGATATAATCCAGCAATAATTACACCTCGAGAGTGGGTTAAGACGATATCTTGTTAACAGCAATAGCAGGCACCCACCTCTAGCTGGAGTGGGTTGCAACAATATGTTAACAGCAATAGCTGGCACCCACCTCTAGCTGGAGTGGG